GGCGACTTAGTCCTACTATCTACGGTAAACTTACCTAGACACGTAGTAACCAATGTAGGCAGCAGTAAACTACTGCCCAAGTACATCGGCCCCTTTCGTGTGCTGCGCCGACAAGGCAACGCATACACGATCGAACTGCCACGTATGATGCGCACGCTTTCTACGTTGGAAGTGGGACGTCTCCGCCCGTACTGTCAGTATGAGCTCTCTTCTGATGATGAAAATAGCCCCCACGTTCGAGCACACCTATTAGGTTCTTGCGCTCGCGCTTTAGACGATCAGTCTGGACGCGTAACGAAGGGACCTCTCCACGCAGTTCATAGATCGCTCTGCGAGCTGCCCCCAGTTCTTTGACGAGGGAGCGGACATCACGCTCAACCTGAAGTTAGGTGAGGGCGTAATCGGCACGATCCTTCGCCCGATCAGCCTCCCGATCCTTGCGGTGCTGCCGCACGGAATCGGCCAGATCGTAGCCCCTATCCCGCTCGTGCTACAAATACTCGCGCAATTGATCGATTGCGCTATCCATCTCGTTGTGGTTGAGATGGTGGGCAGAACGACTTGGAGGAGGGTTTTCCTCCTCATCCACATCCTTTGGTGGACTCACACGGTGGTCAACGCTTTCATGTGGAGCGTATCTTGAACCACCGTGACGATTCAGGATCAAGGACGAGTTACCTCGTCCAGTGGCGGGTGTATCCACCCTCGTGGAACAGCTGGGAACCCCGATCCCAGTTGATGATGGATGTTCCTGGTCTTGTCGACAGTACGATGAGACCCACCTTTTATAGGAGGACCGTCGGCGAACGAACGCCCGGAGCGTTCGTAAGGGGATTGTGAATTATCAATCTCTCCGTACATGTCGGAAGAGAAACTCGCCCTCCGGTAGGGTTTTTCGGGAGAAAGGCCTCCCTAGGGGCGCGAACGGAGCTGTCTTCACAACTTTGACAGGTCGCTTCCCACGAGAGGCAAGGTAAACCTGCCTTTCGAGGCAATCGGTGCAATTTACATCGAGCACCGGTGATGGACTTCTGTTCAAACTTATTGCGAGCTGCAGTAAGTTTGTCCAGCCAAGTGTCACGGCCAACATTCTCAATGTTGCCGATGAAAGAATTCCACACCTGAGCCAACGAGAAATCGTCTCGCTTGTGATTACTGTGGTACCATCGATGCCTGAAAAAGACATCGATGTAAAATTTATGCTCAGTGAGATAATTCCTCGCACTGAGATCAAGTCCATGGATCCTTGACAAGTCAAAAAGTGGGATTCGACAACTTTCAGTGGTATAACCATACCACTGTCTCAACTCGCTCAAGGTAGGCATCTATGGCTTGTTCTTAGGGGCAGATCGCAACGCGTTGCAATCTTGCTCCTCCTGCGTGGTGCCAACATGAGAGCTAGCACCGCCATCGCCGCAATACCTAGCGCTGATGCGGTTATGGCTACGATGACTCCGCGAATATTTATCGACAACCTCATGAGAATCTACGTCCTCATGTATTGCACTCGCCTAGTATAAATACGAGTGCGATAGGTTTGATCACGGCGAAGACTTCATAGAATCGTCGGATGAACCAAACATCTCATGGCGCAAGTCTTTATCGAGACTGCCGCGAGGCGCAACATTATTCGTTTCCACAACCGTACGGTCAGGTTTTGCGGACGGCTTCGAGTCGAAAGAATCCGAATCGCTCGAATAGACCATCTATATCTCGGGATCTTGGTCCATGGGACTACCACCCGCAGCCGAAGCTGCGGGTGAAGGATCTGCACATGGATAACCACGTGCTCCTGCAATTACGGGAGTTTCAGGCTGCTTACTGGCAGCAGCAGGTGACTTGACACCTGCTGCTGAGTCTTGGACAGCTTGCCCTCCGGCTGAACGCATCCGTGAAGCCGCTTCAGTCGCGGCCTTGTTCGCGCATCGCATGGACGAACTTGTCATGCGATGAAAGGCTGAATGCGATGGGCAGTACCAGCAAGTTCTCCCTTTCTTTCAGATGGACCCAACGGTGGTCACTCTGTCACCAACCAATTCTATAACTCACTGTAGTGGCTGGTGGTTAAGGGTGTGATGTGTAACGGGGTGAGCCCATTATATAAAATTGATATCTTTGCATCAATTTTTGAACATTATCTATTTACATGATGATCAATTGACATATCTCGTAAGAAGTAAGGTTGAAGGAATATTACCCCCGAGGGTAATATTTATTTGATGGGTTTCCCCACCTGATGGTTGATGTTCACGGTACATCAACCAGATTAACCACCAATCTCTGCTGGACGCGCGCAATTGGATGTGAGCAAGAAAACCACATAGGAGATTGTAGTTTAATATAGTTAGCTCAAGACGAAAGATGGTTCATTAAAAACATAACTATATTAAATACAGCTCTACTTTTTCCCTTGGACAGAGCTTTCGAGTTCTGCCTACTTCGCTGCGCTTCCTCACGCCACGTGTACGTGACGTCGGGTGCACACAATCTTGTGTCGAATTGACACTTGGCGTGCCCCGTTACACACTGTGGCAGAAAAGCTCACAATGCTATCTGACATTTTAAAATAATGGGATTTATTAATAGCCTATGATTCGTCTACCCACCACCCATCCCCTTAACTAAATGTCAGGATACGGATTGCATTCAAAGGACAGCTCCACTCTTCCAAAGGCATTCTGAGGAAGAGATGTATAGAGACCTTGCAAATATGTTAATTTCTGTTTGCCCTATTTGGTCCTCGCGAATGATCGGAGTGGCCACCAACGGATATAGAAATATGACTAGCGGCAATTCTTGGCCTTGCAAGCAGGCTTGAGCGACACGTAGAAGTTGTCTTACTTCGCATTTGGTGTGGAGCCCATCATTTTGACTTAGTGATGCAACGGCTCGTTGAAAAATTGTTTGACGGTCGGTTTCTTATAAGTTTGAATGTACTCATTGTCTACCTTCGCCGGCAGCAAACTTTGATTTAAACGTTGAAGACAAAATGCCAGAACCTGAACTCTTCTCTATGTCTTTCTATGGGACGGACAGCGAAGTGGTTCTGCAGGCACAAGAATCATGTTCCTTCATAACTCGTAGCAAAGAAGACAGCTTGCAGTCCGTCACTGAGCCATTGGTTTTTCATCTATTGTTGTAAAGGTCTGATAAGAAGAGTCGATAATACCTTTAGGAAGCTGCAAGGAATGACAACTCTTGTTGGTGAGCAAGTAGAAGAGATGAAAGATCTCGCGGTCTCTATCGTTCCAATGGGAGAGCTAGATGATACGGTTGACGTCTAGGATAATGAGTTTGAGGAAGTATGTTCAGTCGTGAACGACTTCGGATAGTATAACTACATAGTATATGGCCGGTACAAAGAACGGCTATCTTCGATTCGGAAATTTGTTGAAGATTGAGGGTCTTTTATGACCGATGCTCTGAAGGATCCTGACAGTCAAGACGATGATGGGACCGTGGAGTGCAGGCGAGCATTCGTCTTTTAAGGCACGATGGCGGCAATGGTGCTGACCAGATACGTTTTATTGTGGCTGAGAAAAATGTTAATAACCGGCTACCCACCGTCATTCCGCAGTATTCAGTGCTTCAACGCATTTCCAAATTTAACGTGATCTTTGCGGAATACAAGGAGAGTGTTTGGAGCTTGTACCGTGGAGTATGTCTGGAAGACGTAAAGGCAGAGTTCGGAAATCTCAAACAAGCAGAAGATACAGGAAGTGAAATAAGCGCTGATTTAGGAAATGGATAAGAAAGAATAAAGGGAATGAAAGAAGAAGTGATGCAGGTGCAGCTAGAGAAGACATCGGTGATTTCTTTTTTATCCTTAAAAGAAAGCTAATCGACATGTGGCCTTAACATTTCCCTCACTCACTGACTTTGCTGGGAGCTTGGCTAGTGCCTTTGTAGCAACTTCTACAGCTAAGTCAGGATTATCGAATACTAAGTGGGAAAAGGATTAATCGTACTGGCTTGAGAGACTCTTCTTGGACGGTATACTCTAGGCAAAAGAAATCTCAAAAACTGCAGAAAGGCAACAAGCTCGTCGTCGAACAATAAGACCTTCCTTTTTGCTGCTGGTAAAATAATGGAAGTCTGCATGATGAGTTGACCTCTTCATGGTTCGTACTACTATGCTGCTCTGCGCTACTAAACTTCACTACTTTCATCCTAATTGTTCTTCACTTATGTCTTCGAGGTGAGTATTAATTGATATGGTGGCTCGTTGCCTCTCCATCCGTCGGGTGTTGTGATAGGATGTAGTGGATGCTGCTGTTGGTCTTCACTTTGGTAGACGATGGTTTTGATGTTTGCAACAATGCTGGTGTTGCTGGGGGGAGCTTAACAAAGACTCCTTCTCATCACATACTTCTACCACCTGCCACTACTAAGGAGTACTACTGCTGGTAGTCGACCGCTACATGTTCTTCTTCTCCTCCTACCCAGATATCAACTGCTACAGCTGCCGCTGCTGCTTTTGCAGCAGGTCGGTCGTCCGATCCGCCGCACTCGCTCGGCTTTTTCTACTCATACTTTGTTCACTAAGCATAAACGATTGCACTGCTGTTGAATCCTTATAAGTAAACACAGAGGTACGTTATCCTGTACTTTACATTAGAAAGCTCGAATTGCTTGAATTTAAAGTTGGTCCGAACCCTATTTTAAGATATTTTTAGGTTTGGCGTAATCCTCGAATTTGACACGGCATGCGTATGATCAATCATATGTCGAGTATTATCTCCGAAGGTAATTTCTTAGCAACGAGATCTTAGGGTGTAATTGTTGAAATGTTTTAGCCATCGTAACATTTGCCATGACATTCAACCTATTGTCAATGTCATGCTTACGGGTTCAGTTCATCTCCTTTCTAATTTATCGCATGCAAGCATAGAAAAAAGCGATGTCGTCGGTATCGCCGTTTATTAAGCACGCATTGACCAGCAAAACCGGTAGCGACAAAGGAAATATCGGTGCTACTGATCCAGCACAGTACGACAAGCATGACCAGCTCCTCTGACGAAGACGATGGCGACTACGTCCCGGAAGGTCATTAGCAGCTGACCCACTATGACCGTTATCGATCCAGTGGTCCAACATTTGATGATGTACCTCACTCCGTGCAACAGCTGACGATGAGCAGGAAGAGGACGAAGACGCCTCCAACGCCGATGCTGTGTCGGACGCGCAGACCCGTGTCACAGCCGCCCTTCACATAGACAAACTCTGGGACGACATGAATGCGGACACTGCAGTGTCGAAGAAAGCAGCGGACATGACGGCAAAGGTCCGTTGGTCCGATTGGCGCTTGGAGCAATGTTTCGCTTGTGACATTGACGATGTTGTTGTGGTTGCAGCTGCTTGGTGGCTTGACAAAGAAGACGAGAAGCTCGAGTACCCGACTGAAGAGGAAGAAGTACGCTGTACGTGAATTCTCAATGCCAGTGCTAAGCGTCGACGTAAAGAAGTCGCGAAAAGATATGGCGGAGGGGATGTTGACGCAAAAGATGGAACGAGTGGTCAAATTTGCTGGGAAGGAGTACAGCGTCTCTACGACTGCTCTACCAGCAAAGGGTGAGAAGAAAGGCTTGGATCGAATGTTTGATGCGCTGAACGAGCCAAAGCAAGTGTCTACGATCGAAAAGTCGTCGTTTGATTGGAACAAGTATAAGGAGAAGGAAGGTATTGAAGAGGAGCTGACGCAATACACGAAGGACGGGTACGGACTGAATGTGGTGTTGTAATTTGAGTTTCGCTGACCAGGATCGATGTGTGTGGATGTTCCTGCAGCTACATTGAGAAGCAAGAGTTCTTGCAGCGGCTGGATGTAAGACGCTTCGAGATAGAGAGAGCCGAGCGAGACAAGCAGCGCAAGCTTCAGCAACAGCAGGACCCTAGATCGTAACCAGTCGAAAGGGACATCGCAACCATGTCGATCATTCTACAAGGCAGGAAACACAGCCCGAGCGAAAACAACAGGGTTCTTTGCCAGATGTAGTCCATTCTTTGGCTACAGGAATGATGGTTAAAGCCGCAGTGTCCGTCTGTCCCTGCATACAGATAGAATAGTGTAGCTCCCGCACCAGCTTTACACAATATAGTTGTAGACCCTTGCCACTCCATCGTGCTAAACCGCATGTTACGTATATGCTCTTATTTGTCTGTTCGCCGAAGCCAAGACTTCTTCATCTTTCGTCAGGCGCAAAATGCGTCAGAGACACCTGGTTCATCACAAAGCTCGACTGATGCTCAGCTCACGGTATTTCAATGCGATGCTCCTTCACTGCAAGATTGTTGCATCCGAGTAATTTGTGTCTCGACCACCAAGTGCGTCAGCAAGATGTGAATGAGTTTGCGTGAGCAGCAAAGCTGAACGTTGATACATACATGCTTACACAAGCGATGATGGTATACGTATCCAATAAGCATAGTTTGAGATCGTAGAATGTCGTTGTAAGCGTTAAAGCTGGATGCTCCTTCGTCGAGCAAATGTACAATATAGCCTTTTTCAACGCTTTATGACGTCGTGCTCTCGAGTGATACTTCTGTTTGCGGTGTCGGTAGCGTGGACCCACACCAGTATGTGGGCGGCAGTAATCGACGATGCATCGGTCTCTATGTATGTACAAATTGTCGACAGAAAGGCTAACTGGATGAGTGGCGACCAGCGCGTTGCTTGCAATCAAACGGTAGGTCCTTTACCGGTATGCCATTTATTGTATTTCATCTATACTCGTAGGCGGGTGCAGTGCATTAGATCGTGGCCGACGAGTTCGGGCGAAATAGCTTTTGTGGCAGAGATATGGCGATTGTAAGAACGCACAAACTTGTTCGCGTGTTGCTAGCATGCCAAGGCTGACTTGAGTGTCGAGATCGTGACGCATGAAAGCTCGCCACAAGCTGTTGTATTGATATAAGAAAGGAGGCCATTTGACCAACTACGCTGTTAGGTACGCCTCGATGGAAGCCCAAAATACGCACTCAAACCGGCTACCGAGCCCGAAATCGAGAAAGTCGACCTGGACAAAGCTGGAACGAGCATATATTCGGACGCGAGACCGATATTCGGTCAGCTAAAGTCCACCTTTCAAGCGCCGTCCGACTTTCCCGTGACCCTACGCGAACACTCTGCCTCACTGATTCCTTGTTGTAGCCCTATCATTTGTTGCCATGTGCCGTAGTAGCAGTCCGAAACATTGACACTAAGCAGCTGCAAGTCAGTGTGCAAGAGTGGAATCACCCGAGAGTGGCTGCGGAGAGCTCTGCGGTGTCCGTCGCCAGTGCTGAATGGTGTCTTGCCCACTCCGTCTGGCGCTGCCGATCGACGTGCAAACGCTCATACGTCTCGCCAGTCGCAGGCCATTCTTCGCTGAACAAGTACGTGGCACGTTCGTGACGTCGTGATTGGTTCAGAAGGCGCCACGCGATCGTATTGCGCCACTTCTCCTTTCGCCTCGTAACCGCCGCGTCGCCTGTGGCTGCACGCCGTCCGCCACATACGTTTGTCCGCCACATACGTTTGTCCGCCGGTTCGAGTACACAGAGAGAGAGAGAGAGACCCGACGCGATCGAGTCGGAATGGCAGCGACAGCAGCGCGACTCGTGTGCGCCAATCACGACCGCGTGAGTCAGTTGTCGCATGTGTGGGAAGCGATGGGCCAGTGCCTCGACTACTCGCGCGCGTGGACGCTGGAGCGTGCGGCGGCTCAGGGGCTTCCGTTTCTCGTGCAGCATTTGGCGCGGCAAACGGCCAGCGCGTTACCGCAAGAGACCGACGACAAGTCACTGGCGATGGACTTTGCAGCTGGCAACGGCCACTTGGCCATTCTCACGTGGCTGCACGACACGCAGCAGCTCAGCAGCTGCTCGACACGCGCGATGGACGACGCAGCGAAGAACGGCTACAGTGCAATTGTCCAGTGGCTGCACGTGCACCGAAGCGAGGGCTGCACGACCCGGGCCATGGACTACGCTGCTAGCAACGGCCATCTGTCCGTCGTGCAGTGGCTGCATGAGCACCGCCCAGAGGGTTCGACCCCTCGCGCGATGGACTTAGCGGCGCAGAATGGGCATCTCCATGTGCTGCAATGGCTGCACGACAACCGATCTGAGGGATGCACTGTCAGTGCTGTGGACTACGCAGCTACTGAGGGCCACTTGCACACTGTGCGCTGGCTGTGCGACGTCCGCAAAGAAGTGTGCTCGTCGAGCGCTATGGTCGGCGCTGCGCGGGGCGGACACCTGTCTATCCTCCAGTACCTCAGTAAGCAGTTCGCCACCTTATTTGAAAGCGTTAGTGCCAAGATGGTGCACGCCGCTGTCGCAAACGGCCAACGAGCGGTGCTCGAATGGCTTGCCGCCGTGCTTCCGGTCAAGTCGCTCAAGTGCGAAGAGGCTGTCGGATCGTGGATGGAGGTTGCATGCCAATACGGCCAGACAGGTATCCTCAAGTGGTTCCACGACCATGCGGCTGAGCTGCCGATGGGCGTTGACAAGCACAGCGCTTGCACTGCATCAGCTGTAGTGAATGCGGCTCGCAACGGGCACGACGACGTGCTGGTTTACCTGCAGGAAAACGACCTGATAGACCTCACCACCGAGTCCAGTGCCATGGACGCGCTCGTAGCTGCAGTCGAAGGCGGCCACCGCAACTGCGTCGAGTGGTTAGTCACAACGTTTCGCACATTGTACGCGACAGTCCCGTGCACGACGACAACCGCAATGGACACTGCCGCTGCTAGCGGCCACGTAGACCTCCTCCAGTTTCTCCGAGACGAGCGGACTACAACGAAGTGGCGGACCAGCTACAAAGCGGTCGAGCGGGCAGCTCGCTATGGCTTTGTCGACGTTTTGCGCTGGCTGCACTTCGACGACCACAGCAATGTCGTCGAGGAGGGAGTCCGTCTGCAAGTGGAAGAAGCCAACCGACTTGAACGTCGCTGGACGCCTATGGCGCTGGAGATGGCTGCTACGAACGGACACCTCGCAGTGGTCCAGTGGCTCATTGAGCATCACCGCAACGTTTGCAGCAGTGTCGAGGCGTTCAACGCCGCGTGCTACATGGATCATGTGCCGGTGGCTCAGTATCTCTACAGCAACGTGCGCAGCTCGTGCTCTGTAGAGCAGGCGCTGGAACAAGCAAATGAAGGAGGCGCTGAAGACACGTTGTGTTGGCTACGGGGCCTTCCCATCTGAACTGGTGCAACGATTGCAACGCTATTGAGTCCTGCGCGATTGCATCGGCGTTGGCCTCTTAGAGACGGCGTGAGTCGACGAGTAGAGTGCTTTTTTCATGCCTTGCGTAGATAAAAAAATAGAGTGCGTTTCTCGACAAATGTATTCGGGTCACCCTATTCAATACGGATCCGGACGATGCACAACGAACGCCGCGTCGTCGCCTTCGCAGTGGCCACTCGAGCGAGTGTGACGCTCCTGGCGCTGCTGACGTCGGCCGTCGTGACTCCCTACGACACGTCGTCCCACCTGCAGTCGGGCGGCTCCCCACTCGACCCGCTCAGCAACTGGGACGGCGTCTACTTCTCGCACATCGCCTCGCACGGCTACGACTTTGAGCACTTTCACGCCTTCTTCCCGCTCTATCCGCTGCTGACGCGCTCGTTGTCGCGCGTCGTACCGCTTTCTGCCGCTTCGGCAGTGATCGCCAGCGGATGGCTCATCAGCAACGCGAGCTTTGTGCTGGCGGCGCTGTTTCTCTACCGCTTGGGCTGCGTCGAACTCGACGACGAGACCGTCGCCCGACGCGCGGCGTACCTCTTCTGTGTAGCTCCTTCGAGTATCTTTATGTCGGCGCTCTACTCGGAGAGCCTCATGTGTCTCCTGAGCTTCAGCGGTATGTACTTCCTGGCCAAACATGCGCATGCACGGGACGACACCCGTCGAGCCTTTCGAGACTTAGTGTACTGCGCGCTGTTGTTCGGCGCGGCCTCAGCGACGCGGTCCAACGGGGTCCTGCTCTCGTGTACGTTCGGGCAGCTGCGACGCGGTCATGTGGGGTCAGCGTACTAAGCCTCGTGGTTCTTTGTCGCCAGTGTTCATTGCGTGGCATCGACTGACGACTTCGCCTCCTCCGCGAGAGCTGCGTCGATTCACCGGTCACTGGACACGAACGGCACTTCTCGGCGTGCTGGCTGTTGCCCCTCAGATCGCGTACTTTGTCGCTTCGATGGTACCGTATTGTCCGTCACTAGTGCAGCGCTTCAGCGGCCACGTTGCGGGAGCTGGTGAGGTGGAGGACCGGAGCTGGTGCGCGCACGCGATCCCGAATGTGACTGCCATGTACACGTTTATCCAGAGAGAGTACTGGAACGTGGGTCTCTTGCGCTACTACGAGCTGAAGCAGTTGCCGAATTTCCTTCTCGCTGCGCCGATGCTGTCGCTCAGTCTGCATGCGCTCCAGGGATACTTTCGGGGTCGTGTCGTGCCTGGACGATCGCGGGCGATACGTCACTCAGCAACAGGAGCTCCTGGACGCAGCCAAGACACGGCGTTGACTCCGTATTACACGCACTGGCTGTTCTTGGTCGTGAACGCCCTACTCGTCGTGCACATCCAAGTGACGACGCGGCTGCTGTGCGCGTGTCCGCCGCTTTTCTGGCATCCAGCCGCGCTGCTGTGTGACTCGGCCGAAGAGCAGAAAGCGGTTCCCGTTCTGACAACGTACGGCCGCGTCCTCGTGCGGTACTTTTTGCTGTTCACGATATTGGGCAGCGTCCTCTTCCCTTCGTTTTACCCGTGGACGTAGCAGATGACCCTCAGTTGTCTAACACCCGTTGTCTAATATTCGCTGTCTCACACGCAAAAAGTACCACAGCGTTCGTTTGTATTACGACGACGTTTTGCAGTCCTCTGTGCCAGCGCAGGACAGACGGACGGCCCACCACAATTGTACTGACTTAAGCTCGCGGGCCATCGACGTACCGATAAAGTGGTACGCAGCCTCGGATCGAGTCGCTGCGACCAGCTCTCGCCTGCTGCGACTGCATGTCCCTGCGCTTGACTTGTTTCGGCCGCGTCCCGTCGTACTCGCGGCGATTCATGAGCGCATCGAACAGCAGCGACTGTGTGTCCGCTGTCTCCTCGTCTGCTCAGCCTGCCACGTTCGCCGCAGACGTCTTGGAAAGCTCTGAAACCTCAATGGCGCACAAAGTCCGACGGCATCAAAGCCACTTGTCAGACAACGCGATCGCTTCTGCGGCGGTTGACGAGTCTGTCGAGCGCAGATCAGACGAGAGAGGAGGACCGACGAGTATCGAGCAGCTAAAGCTGCGGATACTGGCGAGAAGTGATCATTATGTGGTACTGAACAAGGGACCGGACGAGAGGATGGACGGCGCCTTTGATGTGACGTTGGAAAAGGCGGTGCGTCCATTTCTTCACTTGCTGCTGCTATTGTTAGTGACTGCAATAATGGCAGACGAGGTCTGATCCAGCTGATGGTCAATGATGGATGTAGCTCGCGCGAGACTTTCCAGAGGTGGAAAAGTTTCGGTGGATCCACCAACTGGACTTTGGTGCGTTTGGTAGCTCAGGCAAGACATGTATGGACGAACATCGACTCACGAGCTGTGGTTGCATTGCTGTTCGATCTTGCAGCAACATCGGGTGTACTGATAGTCGGTACATCGAAAGCGTGAGTGACGTAGCTTTTGACGCAATGGCAGTATTGTCTCAGTCTTTGTGCCTTTGCACAGAGCTACTGCAACATGCTGTCGACTTTTCCGAGAGAAGCAAGTGCAAAAGGAGTATTTGGCAGTGGTGCGTGGCCATCTCCCCTCTAATCCGCTGGACAGTGCGGACAGGGCCGGAGCGCCTGCCAAAGCCTGCACATTTTCGAAGCTGGGCTTGTTGATTCAAGACATGGAGGAAATGGAGAGACTTAGAAATCAGCAGCGTGGCTCGCGGGTGCATCAGAAAATGTCGGGGTATCCACGTGGAGCCCGCAATGGACCTAATCTGTTCACGATGGAGCAGGCTCGGCTCTTACGCGAAAGTCGGCGAGGAGACGGCACGCGAGCTTGTGCTCGTGAACTGACCCCGGCAGAGCTAGCTTTCACAACGATGGCATGGCTTGACCTATCAAACGAGGAGAAGGATGCGTACACCGAGAAGGCCAAGACAGATAAGCAGCGTTTTCTATGCGAGCTCAACGAGTTTTTCAGCAAGGAGAAAGTCCGACTCGCTCACCAGCGTGCGTATGGTTGTCGTGAAAACACTGACACAGCGGACGAGCCTGTCGCTTACGTTTTCGACGCGCCGATTGTTGAGCCACATCAAAGTCGTAAGGTCTTTTGCATGCAGGTTGGCACTGAGGCCAACACGTCCGCTAAGCAGTCCACTACGGTTGCTTTTGTCTTGGGCCATGCAACGTACAGGGGTCAGCCAGTTACAAAGGTGCTGTTGCGTCCGCTCAATGGCCGTCGGCACCAGTTGCGACTGCACCTCGCGCATCATGGCTTCCCGATCGCTGGGGATGTCACCTACGGCTCACAAGATGATGAGGCACCGCGAATGATGCTCCACGCTTGGAGAATTTGGCTACGCGGATGCCCGGCAGAGAAGGTGTGGTCATGATTGAGTTGCATTCTTCGCATACCGTTGACTGACTGAGGCATTTGTATCGATCAGAAAGAGTACGGTGACCTGTATTTTGCAAGTCCAGATCCGTTCGAATCCATCGTGCCAAGCGAACGTGAAGTCAGTACGATAACGTACTTCAAGCACAAGAAAGGTGAAAAGTGCGACGCGCGGACCAACGCAGTGGAAAGTGCCGAGGTACATGGCCTAAACTGAACGTTTGCCACTTTTGTCCGAATCTTGCTATTGTCTACTGGTGCAATACGCTGACCATGTTGCTAGGTGGCGGCTGATCAGGTTCCTGATCAATAATGGCATGGTGTCAGCATGTATTGCGGTCAAACGATAAGCAAGCGAGCGGAACATGCGAGCAGAGACTGGTGAATGCCAGGGGCTTGCTCACGAACATGTTGGCTGTTTGTAGCCCTCCGAAAGACGAATGGCAGCCATGGCGGGTACAACACACGTGCTTGTGGCCATGTGCTTTTTCTTTGGCGTGCAGCACATTGGCGGCTTTGACGGTATTTGCCAGCATCGAAGAGCGAGTATGTTGAATGCACAGCAGCCGATGCTCGAGTAGCCATCAGCCAGCAATAGGTTGGCAGATGGTGCGGTAGGAGCCTCCGCTGCTGCTGTCGAGCCTACGGTTGTGGGTGTGCTCGCTGTCGTCAGAGACCGGTATACCGCATACAATACAAGACCAAGCCGAAGCAAAAACAAAGCTACGAGGAGTGTGGATGGTCAGTGCTCAAGTGCCGATTGTGTTGCAGCTACGGTGTCCTTTGGCTGGTGATATGTGTCCGCTCCTATTCTGCTCAAAGTACACCACACCGCGTCCCATGTATTGCCTTTGCTGCCGTATGCAAGTCACATCAATTCTATAGCACCTACAAAGCGCGTGGTACGCACAAGACGTCTATCGACATTCGAGTAGATAGCGTCAAGTTGATAGCAGTTGTATGTATCGCAATGCATACAGCAGCTGTCACATCGACGCTAAATACTCAACGATCGTTGCTTCAACTGCTCGAGATATATCAAGACCGCCTCGTTGCTGTCTTTCTTGAAAGTTCCACTCGAGTTAGCAAGAAGTCCTGAGCGCAGCAACACATTGCATCTTTCTCGTCACGTCTGCTAACCTGGCTTTCACGATTGTTGTGCAACGTTTCGCTTTTGTCCCACCAGCGACACTGAGCTGCTCACAACTCCATTTACTCATTGAAACTTGCGTGTCAGACAGCATATCTGACATGGCGCTGTAACTTTAACAACCGGATCACTGCCGTCACTGAGTGCTAACAATCGATCGCATGCCACTCACTGCGACCGGAAAGTCCCTCCAGCAACAACGCATTCTCGCGTTTATCTTCAGTTGTTATACTGTACATTGTTATCCGGTAAGATCGTAACATTCACATCGACAGTAAGTGTCGATGTCATGTTACGGGCTCACTCATTGCACCCGGCAACGCAGCAGGCCAAGACCATCAGCAATAGTAGCAGTATCGCCAGTAGCAGCAGCTGAACAAAGCAGCCACTTAGTCGGAACGAGGAGAAGATTGTTGCCTGTACATACGATAGAGATCGCAGAGTCGCCAAGGAGTAATCGAAGTCGTTTAATTAACAGGTACCGCGCTTCGAGCTCACGCACCAAATGTACATGGCTGCTACACCGACACTGCATAACATACATTGTCCATCTTGCCGTGAACCCCACCCACCCGACATAAACACGTGTGTATCCAAACTATGATTCAGTTATCAGATCTGCGTTACTTGTAAGCGAGCGCCAGGGCTTCTTCCGCTTTCTTGACTATTGCGTGGCCAAACACTGCAAAGCATTTCTACAACTTTGCTAGTTGCTTCATTTCTGCAAATACCCTAAAGCTCGTACGGTTTGTTGAGAAAGCAAAACTAGATACGAATGTACAAGTTGATTCGATGCCCACGAGAAAAAAACATACCAGTTGTGCAAACGGGTAACTTCCGGATGAGAGTGCAGTGTTACAACGCAAAAAACTTCGTCAGATAAATCATGGCACGCTTCACAGCGTAACAAACAAAAATTCCCACTGCACCGCATACCGATCCGATGCTTCAACAACACTCCTGCTCTCGCTCGTCACGTGCACCTTGCGCGTTGCATTCCTGTCGCCACAGTTTCGATGTTCACCGCATCGAAGATTTCCGTATTTTCAGCTTCTTTTCCAGCCGATCTCGTGCAGAGCTCACCTTGCGCTTGCGACCAATGTGGCCGTGGTTGTTGTGGCGATTTTCAGAGCTGGCGTCAGTTGACGACGGCGTGAGTGGAAGTGGAGGGCGCACATTCTCGGACCGTAATGAGGAGGCGCTCATCGTCGCAGCAGCGGGAGAGTACCCTCGAAGCATGAGCCCCTTGCCCCTTGGTGACGGAGCTACAGCATCTGAAGGCAAAGAGTGACACTCCGTTTCGCTTGCTTCCGTGTGCGCCTTAGTGAGGCTGCTACCCAACGAGTGACTGCGCTTTCGACGCAGAGAGCTGGTCGACGCAGATGAACGCTTCTTCTCGTTGCGGCTTCGTTGCTCAGTGCGCGCGTTACTGGAATCATGCCTTGCAGACCTCGAAGGCGGTGGCGATGATGGCGGAGGAGGAGGGGTCGACGACGGAGAGGCGGCGGGGGCAGATGGTGGGGAAGGCATGAGACCAGTAGATGCCTTCCTCTCCTTCTTGTTTAACGCCAGTACCTCAGCACGTCTGCTCCTGTGCGAACGAGGTTTCGACTCCAAGTTATTTAGTGAGCGTGCTGAAGATCGCGCGTGTACCGAAGCTGCGTGAGACGAATCCGCACGTTTCCGAGACCGTCGCGGTGACTCGCCACGATTTCGCTTGCGATGTCGATCACGCCTGCTGCTTCTCTTTGAACCAGATTTGCGCCGGCGTGCCTTCTTCACACAACGTGGACATTGGTAATCGTGCGCTGGCTCCATAGCCATCGGTATGCCGACACACATCGTATGCTGCCATGTATTGCAGCTTTCACATTCCACCATGCGTTGACCATCGTCGTGGTTGGGCCGACGGCGGACAGCACACACGCAATCGAACATCCAGCAACAGCGAAAGCACACGAACTTTTCTTGGGCCACCGCTTCGGGCAGCTTATCTGCACACTTGGCATGTACCCAATTTTGACAGATATCGCACTGGATCATGGAGGTCCCGTCGTCGTAGTTCTTCTTCTTTAGTCCACAGGAGCAGTCGACTAACCACTCGTCTTCCTCTTGTCTCTGTCGAGCCATCGGCACATCAGTGCTAACGCTCCTACGACGCTTTTCCCTGTGCTTCGGCCCACTCGTCGCCTCGTCCCGATGAGAGTGCCGCTGCGTCGAATGCAACGTCGATGTTCGTTTCTTCGAGCGATGTGCTTGTTGCCGCTCGTGATAACGCCGTCTAGCGTCGGCTACCACCTGCTGCTTCACCTTCTCCGTCAGTTGGAACTCCTTGTGTGCTGCTTGTTGTCGGAGCGTAATCAGCACATCCACAGGTGCTGGAGGAAGTCGCGGGTACGAGTTTTCCAGGTCGGAACTCCCGTCGCTCTCGCCGCTCAAGTCGTCATCTGTCGGGTCAATCCCATTGTCCTTATCGTCACCGTCCACGTCCCTCGAGGCCCAACCGTCCTCGTTCTCCACATCACTCTCATCCACTGAGCTTTCACTGCTGCTGCTGCTACTGCTGGTGGAGTCGCACCTCCTCTCGTCTCGGCCGTCGTCTCTCTCCTCCTTTTGGTCGTCGCCCCCGTCGCGGCTGTTCTTGGCAGGCGGTGGCGGCGACTCGTCGTCGCTGTCGCTTTTCTTCCCACTGGGCGTGAAGCTGTGGTCACTTCTGCTGTTGTCGTCGCTGCTGGCGGGAGACGGACGTGGACTGCTCACTGGGCGCTGGGCCGTTTTCTCTCCTCCGTCCGTCAGCGTCGGAATCGTTCCGTGTCCCGCAAGGGGACGGCGCATGACAACGGGCGATGCGCACTGGACGGTCCTCATGCACGTAGGCGACTTGTGCAGCTCAGCGTGACGGCCGCGGAGCAGCATATGCGGCGCCCACAGCTTCGGGCGAAGACGTCCGCAACGCGTGGACAAGTCGACCGACCCGCAAGCCTTGAGACTGACGCCGATGAGACCTTCATAGTTGATCGTATCTACGCGGAGCGAGCGTCTGCTGCGTATGGGTATGATTGCCGCATGTGCCTCCGTCGAGCTCGAACCTAACGGCACTGACGTACTTAGCAGGCTGCCAACCCGTGTGTGGAACGCGAGTCACTGGACCAGAAGCGGAATGGCAGGTCAGTGGACGTTGCGGCGTCGGTCTGTGCGGCTGCTGAGCCGCTGCGCAGGTGCTCCGTTCGGTCTGCCGCGTCACTTTGGCCTCTCGTCGGCACCGAATCCGCATGTGCGCTTCGACGCTCGAGGCAACAAGCGCCAGTCGCAGATGGACGCGTCGGGTTCCGGTAAGTGGGAGTTTAAGCACCACAAAAAGCAGCAGCAGCAGCCACAGCCGGAGGAAAAGAAGCGACGCACCCATCGAAGAGCTGCGAAGGAGCCGCCGGTGTTCACGAACAAGTTTCAGAACTTGCTGAGCTTTGCGTTCGAAGACGTGGGCAGCGAGCAGCCGGTCCGCCTGCAGCAAAAGTCGCAACTAACCGACAGGCGAGAAACGTCGTCACTGGATCTACTGGGCGCGATTGGAGTCGATGGCAAGGAGGAGGAAAGTGTGGAGCTCGAGTTGGCGCAGCTGGGACTGGACGCGGAGGACGACGGCGGGGACACGTTCTCGAAGCGACAATCGCACGGGCGTCAAAAACCGCAAAAGTTTAAGCTGTTCTCCGACGAAAACGATCCGTCCGCAGTCTTAGCGGCACTGGGCATCCCCTCGGCTGGCGATGGCGATCGCCGGACAGAATTGCCGGCGGTGAACAATAGCCGAAAGGCGATCAAGTTGAACACAAAGCGCAAGAAGGGAACGCGCAACTTGCTGAAGAATTTCCAGTTTGAGCATAGCATTTTCGACTCAACGTCGGATCTATTTGGGGACATTAATTGGGAAGATCCCGACGACCGCGAACGTCGACGCTTTCAGAGACAACAACGGAAGGAGGCCAAGCGCAAGCCAACGCCAGTGCTATCAGCACAGGAAGTCGAGATCCCGACGTCACTGACGGTCAAAGATCTCGCCGAGCGCATGAGTGTGAAGCCGCGTATTGTCTTTCGCGCGCTCAAGGATTTGGGCGAAAATGGATTGAATGAAGAATCAGTGCTGACTAGTGACATTGCGGAGCTGGTGGTAGACTCGCAGAACATGATACCAGTCTTGCTTCCGCCCGAATTTATTGACCTCGAGCTGACGACGCCACCTGCGGATTGCTCGAACTTTCCATATCGACCACCTATCGTGTCGGTGATGGGCCACGTCGACCACGGCAAGACCACGCTGCTGGATGCCCTGCGGAATTCGAAGGTTGCGGCTACGGAAGCCGGTGGCATCACACAGCAGATTGGTGCATTCTCGGTGGATCTGGGCAAGAAGTTCAAGTCACACGCGAAGGTCACGTTCATTGACACACCCGGTCACGCGGCATTCAGCAACATGCGGTCACGTGGCTCAGAGCTCACCGATTTGCTCGTACTTGTGGTAGCTGCAGACGACGGCGTGCGCCCCCAGACTGTGGAAGTAGCACGGCTGGCACTCAAAAACAACGTACCGCTCGTGGTGGCCGTCACGAAGATGGACATGCACGAACATGATCGAGAGGAGGTGATCAATCGTCTTGGAACAGAGTTGTTGAACCAGGGAATCGTGGTTGAAAACATGGGAGGTGAAACGCCTTTGGTATGTGTGTCAGGAAAAACGGGTGAGGGACTTGACCAGCTCAAAGAAACTATTGCTCTCCATGCTGAGATGCTGGACCTGCGTGCTGACACGGAGGCAGCGGGTGAGGCCATTGTTCTTGAGGCAAGTGTGGCGCGAGGTGTCGGCACCCAAGTAGATGCGATCGTGAAGTGGGGCATGCTCAAGCAGGGTTCATATGTTGTGTGCGGACTAGAGTATGGGAAGGTCCGTGCCCTCGTCGATCAGGCGGGTAAACGCGTGAAGCAAATGGCTCCTGGTCACCCCGCGAGAGTGATTGGGTTGAAGGGTTTGCCTGAAGGCGGTATCGCTTTGTTGTCGGTGCCCAGCGAAGACCGGGCAAAGGAAGTTGTGGCGGCCCGTCAGGCCATGCTCGATTGGGATCAAATGGCAAGGGCAGATGATGAAGAAGCGGAGACTCGAAGCGATGACGGTATTTTGAGACGACGTCGCCGTTTTGCAGGTGCACGCCGAAAGTGGGAGCAAGTGGAATTGAGACGGCGTGAGGCTGTTGATGAAGCCAAGCGTGTGGCAGCACTCAAACCTGGGGACGAAGGGTACATCGCGAACGTGGTTCCGATCATTGTCAAAACGGACTCGGTGGGCGTCATCTCGGCTATCGACGAGCTCATCGCATCCTTACCGAGCGATGAGGCAGCGATAAAGTGCGTTATGTCTGCTGTCGGGCCCGTCACATCTTCCGATCTTTCAATGGCTCAGGCAACTGGATCTACAATCTACTCATTTAATATCAACCACGCCGCCTCTATTGAGCAAGAGGCATTGCAGAAAGAGGTGACTTTGCGTCGGCACCGGGTCGTGTACAGTTTGCTGGACGACATCAAGGAACTCTTGCAGGAGAATCTCAAGGGTGTGGTAGTGCATGAGGTGATCGGTATCGCTGAGGTGATTCAATCCATCCCTATCTCGACGTCGGCGACCCGCAGTACCAACATTGCGGGTTGCAAGGTCACTTTCGGCTCGCTCAACATGCAGGCGAAGTACCGACTGGTGCGTGATGGCGATACGATCATCGAAAACGTGGACATGGCGTCCATGCGTCACTTCCAGCAGAAGGTGTCAGAAGTGAACAAGGGTCAGGAGTGTGGACTTCAGCTTGTGGGCACGGACGACTTTCAGCCTGGCGATATGCTTGAGGCGTACACGACAAAGGTGGTCAAGCCCGAGATTTAGAACCGTCCTTGTGACTCGTATGGTAGGATTCAGATGCTGCACAGTCGTCGAAATGAATCGTAGCTGGTAGACGGGTAATGCACTGCTTGGATAAGCGAAGCCGCTACAACTGAACATGACGAAACGTGAATAGCATGGTCAGCTCATGTGGATGTGTTCTTGCAATATGGAATAATCACGATACGTAGACACTGCAACTCACTGCGCCACTTTCGCTTGTTTGTTGAACACATGTCGAGGACTGTCGTTTGTGAGCCAAAATCGAAATTGATGATCCCAAGAGGTAACGAAACAGCAAAGTTGGCCCAAAAAAAAGACTTACGCAGCTCTTTGCTATTGTGACGGCGGACATGCTTGATTGATCGTGAGCTTCGATGCTGACTTCTAGCAACAGCAGCAGTTCAGAGCTGTGAACACTACCAAGTGACGTCTCTCTTCCTCGTCCACTAGCACATATCTGGTGCTACAAAAGTATCACCATTCCTGCACGTGAGCTTAAGCTTGAAAAGGAAGACTCGCCGCATGTAAGAGCACGCATATCAGCCGCCACTAAATCACGGCGCTCATATTCGACAGCCTGCAATTCAAGGCACTCGACCAGCTACTACCGAAGCTGTAGCCGTCATATTAACAACTCATTGAGATCTGAGCTAGCAGCCGCATGAGTTTCACCAGTATACCCATCTACCACAATTGCCCCTTAAATAGCAATGGCCCCATAACGCCATCGACCGCTGAAAGGGAATCCAAAGAATTTAGAGAGGGCAATAACACGAATCTCGTCACCTTTGTTGGTCGGGTCATGCTTGTCATGGCCCCCGTGACGCTTCTGGTGTAGTGACACTGCAGATGACGGTGATCAGTGAGTCATTTCTTTCTTGAAGCGTAGGCTCTCACCACTCGCTCTGCTGCTGTTGTGCCAACTTTCTATGATATCATCATGTACAATGGGACTTGAGCGAGGCATTTGCGCAAGCCGCTGACACCGTCGAAACTCTACTTTCCAATACAGCTGAGCAATCAGCTCAGCAGTGCACTAAACAAACAACAAATACCAGTCAGCTAAAGGCAGCAGTGCAGACAACAATGTCGATGCGCTTCCAGACTGGGCCTCGTTGTCATGTCATTACACTTTCCATGACGACTTGCACCGTCGAGAGCGCCACGAAGACGTCTTGACAATCCGAAATATCAGGAACGAGTTCGCATAGAATGGTAGTTGGTTCAAGCGAGCTATTCGAGCGCATTCTGCCATGTCAAGGTGTGGAACAGGGCACGACTGAGCAAGCAAGCAGCTTCCGAGTGCGCCATCGACTGTTTGAATGGCAACAAAGTATCAAGCCGATGTCCGCGGGAATAGTAACGCCATGGGATGCGTGTCTCATCTTCTTCGACTTTGCTCGTCTACGACACAATTGAACCAAACTGCCACAAGAACAGTGTACATCACGACTCGTTCTGGACAAGCTCACATGATTAATCCATCTTCGGATAAAGAGCTGTGACGGAGCAGCGGTCGACATCCTTGTAGACTCACCTTCCAGGTGGTCTTTTCCGAGCAATTCTGAATACCAACGGGATCGATGAGTCATCTTCAGCACCGGCGTCCCATGTTTGCGCTCACGCAAATGACGCGAATGCTTTCTGCAAAAGCGAATTCTAGACCACTGTGCTCAGCGCGCCTCACTCTCTGCGAGGCTGATCAGTATCACGGTGCTCGGAAAACGAGTTATGATGTACTAAACACTGACCCGTCGCCATTTCTCCCGTCATTTGTTGCTTTTCCTAGCTTTACAACCTCAGCCCCGGGTCTGATGCGAATCTTGGATAGTCCTGAGAACCGTTACAGCTACGAACACTGCGTACGCATCGGAGAAATGTTCGTATATGTTCCAAGGAAACCAGATACGGAAAAGAGTATCATCGCAATCAAACGCAAGGCGAGTGGTAGCACCAGTGGCTGTTCCGAAAGTGTCTCGAGATCAACTACGCTTCCTGCTGTTAATGGTACTGCCACGATCGGTGGCGAAATGACAATTGCACTCGTTGACCAAGTTCCGCACTGCTTCTGGTGATTGGACCGTTTCAACGAATTGTGCCGAGACATTGCTTCGGCACATACCTGCTGCCGTCCACGGTTGCTGTCGACAATCGTTAGGTCGCATTGGACTCTCTGGTGACTTGATGCCTTTCCTGGATCGTGCTCATCATCTCTAGGCTCTGATAGCGGCCTTCACCAAGGCAAAAATGGCTTACAGACGATAGCGTTTCGTATCGATCGTGAGTCTTCTGGTATACTGACTTGCTTTCGTACAATGCGCTTTCTTACCATCGCAGCAATCGCAACGCTCATCCGGATTGCCCGCATCTCGACTTTGCTGGCAACGAGAACGTAAGCTGTAGCTGTCGTTCTCGTTGCCAGCAAAGTAACACGACATTTCCGAGCATTTGTTTTGCGGCTCGCGTAGCTGTTTACCGTCGACTTTCGACACTGCTTATGCGTTAAGAGCACGCGTCCGCTTGAATACTCACGATCCATCGTCTGCTTTCTACTGACATGCGAAAGATGTGACTCTCAAGCAAAAGTTCTGTAACTGAGCGCAGAAAACAAGGTCAACAGCTCGTTGCGGTCATTAACGCCGTCATTGAGCTACTTGCTTCATCAAGTGGCGACCTGCTTTTGGCGGACTTGGGGTGCAAAGAGCTGCACTATAACAAGTCGGGCCACAAACTGCCGTACATGGCTTCTGTAGCTTATGCGACATATTTTGCCCGTGAGTTCTTGCTGAGAACGACAAAGGCTTTTGTTGATACGACAGTCCGTTCGCTATGATGGCGATGACAAATGAGATCCAACGGGCTGAACAAATACAAAGTGGAGAGAACAACGTCAGCGCTGTTTCGTGCTTGAGATCCGAAAAGTGGACCAGGCGCCGTAGAAGGTGTATGGTTGGTCTTCTTTGGCCTTCTTGAGAGATGATTGCTACGCTCACCTCAGCATTGTCCGTGAAAATGAAAACACACGACCTCGGGCTAGTGGTTAAGACGTCTCTCTGGGCGAGAGACCAGATGTACGCTGTCGAATCAGGAACTATCCGCAGTCTTACGCGTCTCGATACAATGGCTATCGAAGGGCGCTTGTTTGCTGGTAGCTACGATGACGCGCGTGCTGCTCGAGTGTGTCGTGAAGAGGCAATCGACACCAAACGCCCCTACCCGGCTTCCAAGTAAGCTCTGTGTGTCGCCCTGGGCAGGAGAGAGGTACAAACGTGGTGCGGTTCTAGTTGGATCATTTTCAACATGCTGTATCCGAGACGGCGTCGATAATACTCAATGCTACGAAGGCTCTCCTCAGCTTCGACGAGTCCTGGCAATTGTTCTCAGTCGTGAATGACTGTTTATCGATGCATACGCTCCACTGGTTGATACAGCAGCTCTCCTACGAGTTTTTCTATCGGCGATGACCGCATTTGGAGCCGAGACGGTAAGGCGATTCGCACAAGCCACAAGATCTTGTTCGAGTAAGTTGCACTGGGGCTGTGGCTGTATTTTGGAACGAGAAGCCGATAGAATGCTACAAGAAGTGGAGCCAATGTGTGTACGAGAGGTAGGATGTAATTTGTCGTTCCGCCGTCGATCTAACCAATTCTGGATACGTTGCCCATAGTCGATCTACCAAGCGAAGCTGTCTTGGAAGTGCGCGATGCCGAGAAACGTGGATTGCGCTGACAAAGTTGTGCTATGTCTATCGCGACAGCTAACGCGTTGGTGGGATCACGCACTTCGGCAGACTCTGCACGTGATGGCTAAAAGACTTTCCTTAGAGGCAGATGCTGTCCTCCGTGAGTCCCAACTGGGCGACAGAAACCGCACGCAATTCGCCGGGCGACAAAACATTTTCTTCCGCTACAGCCTCATTGATACCACGACAGACAAGCAATTTCGAACCACGTCAATGGGCTGCAGAGCATATGCATATCCGCGAGCGCGCGGCCTAGCAAAGAAGTTCATGCAGCTTCAGACAAGACGATTAATCAGCAAAGCGACGAAAACGTGCGGCGCGCGATTCTGCCGACCAAATGGCAGACATCCGTTTTCAGCACACTTCCGTACAAAGCAGACAAGTCATACGCGTTATCTGGAATAGCCATTAACACCAAACATAAGCCTAGAAACATATTCAGAAATGCTGCTTTATTGTTCAGTGTGAACGGTGGTACACAATGAGGTTGCGTCTTCATTCACGTCTAGCGACATCTGCATCGGCCTTTTTCCGTACTTACAGATCCGCGGGCATCACACAATTGCCGTACAAGGACTCGTACGTCTCGCGCTCACGACTGTCATCCACAAACACAGCCAACGATAAGTCTTGTGTCACCCACCACAACATAATCATAAAGAAAAAATGACTCACATGAGCGTCTCACTGCCGTCTGCGCGCAGAAGCACTTCAGGAGCGCGGAGCTTGCCATTGTACTGAAACCCCATCGAGTGCGAGTGCGCGCCTGTGTCGTGAATGACAAGGAGGTCACCGACCTGAGCTCTCGGCAAAGGACGGTCCTTCGCAAACCAGTCGTTGTTTTCACATAGCGTGCCCACAACGTGCGACGGAACCACCTCCTCGTTCTCCCGTGCCGGGATCGAGATCTCGTGGTAAGCACCGTACATACCCGGGCGCATGAGGTGCGCCATGCAGGCGTCGACGCCGTAGTAGCGACCGTACGTCTCCTTGATGGCTTCGCAGCGCGTGATCAGCCAGCCAAACGGGCCCGTCATGAAGCGACCGTTCTCCATGCAAAGACGCGGAAGCTTCTCCAGCTTGTACGTCTTCATGGCTTCGTCGAATACTTCACGCAGCATCTTAGCGATAGCCTCTACGTCCACAGCCTCTTGGCCGTTGCGGTAGGGGATGCCGAGTCCTCCACCGATGTTCATGAACTCAAACTCGATACCGAGCTCGTTCTTCAGCTGCACAATGGTCTGGAACAGCACCGTGACCGTCTCACGCCAGTACTCCTGCGTCATCACACACGATCCAGTCATCATGTGGATACCAAAGCGCTTGGCGCCAGCCTGCTGTGCCTTGCGGTAGGCCTCAACAATCTGAAACGGAGGCACACCAAACTTGGCATCAGGTCCGCCGAGCACGTTCGACTTGGTCTCTGAGTCCGTGCGGCCCAGGCCCGGGTTCAGACGGAAGCTCATGAGCTCGGGGCACTTTCCGCGCGCATTCACGACGCTGTCCACGAGCGAGACGTCGTCCAGATTGATGATCACGCCCTGGTCAAAGGCCGTGGTCAGGTCCTTCTGCGCCGTGAAGTTGGACGTGAAGATAACCTGCTCGCCGGGGACGCCCATCTGCTTCACGCTGTACAGCTCCGCGGACGAGCTGCAGTCCATGCCGCATCCCTCCTGGTGCAGCAGCCTGATGATCGCTGGGTTCGGCAGCGCCTTCACGGCGTAAAACTGCTGGAAGTCGGGGAAGTGGGCGCGGAAGGCGCTCAGCAGACGGCGCGCGTTGTCGCGCATCAGCTGCTCATCGTAGAGCTGCAGCGGCGTGCCGTACTTCTCGGCGAGGGCGTCCAGACGGTGCAGAGCGGGCGCGGGGAGCGGCAGCGGCATCGTCTCGAGGCGCAGCGAGCGAGTTCAGGTGTGGCACTTCTTGCGCGGCGCAGTCGGGTGAGCGTGCAGCTCATCCAATCGCCGAGTCGGTGGGCGTATAGAAATGATAGAAACGTTTCTAACGAAGAAGGACGCGAACCCTGCAGACGGGTGCTCAGCTTTTCGATGTCGAGACTGGCAGTCGGGTTTTTGCGAGTGCATTGACGATGACGAGTGGATTAGTGAGTGACGTGTCGAGTGGGCTGCTAAAAGACGGCGGAAACGTGGATATGTATTCACTGACATGGCATCCGATCGGACTTTTGGCCGCAGATTCCTTGTTGGAAGTGCTACAGGAGATTGAGGGGCGGAGAAAAACGCTTACTTGGAACCAACTCATTACGAGGCGAAATGAAAACACTGTAACGCTCGAGTTCCGCCTGCCGGGCTTTGCATTGGTTGTCACACACCGAATCTTTATCTCTGTTGCTACGCGGTGTCGTTGTCTTCCAGTACGTCGTACACGAAGTTTGTCGAAATGCTATTTGTGCAGATGCTGGCTACACTCACTTTGCACGACTCTGGCCGACCAGTGATGCTGATTCCGACAAGCTTTCGCGATGACCTCGTGCTGTTACTTCACAGTTACGACGTATGGCTACAGGGAGCTGATGGATGGACACACTGACGAGTCATGTGGCCGTCACATTGGCTGACGTGTTGATACTTGGCATCCCACAGGTGCGTCGCGCTATGCTGCTGCATTTCTCTTTACGATAAACAAGTTGAAAGTGCACCGACGACATCATTTCTCCTGGAAGAGGAGGTTCTTATAAGAAGTGATTGTCAGTCGTCAGCATAACTTGTGTCCGGGTCAGAAGCGTCACACCAACAAGGGCGAGCAAAATGCCAGATTCTGATCACGAATAGGGTTCGTACCTGCTGGTATGACAGCTGACGCGCAAATAAATGCTGTGCGTTTTTGACACCACTCGTAGCTGGATCCGATGTGTCCCAGTCACTTTCGAAGCGCATTTCCCGAAGTGTCCAACCTATTTGACACACGCTCTTGTGGCAAATCGATGAATGCGACCATTCAGGCAGCAATACCACGCCTGCCGGTGTTAGCCCAGCTGCCCCGCTTGGAGCTCGAGTGTTCGAATACGTGCGTCTAAAGCACAACTACAGTAAGCCAGAGATCATACAGTTATTGAATTACTTTGCGGAAGTGTCTCTAGCTCGCACAATTTTAGTGAGTTGTTACGAATTGGCAATAGCAGAGCTGTCACTGAGCAATAAAAGTCGTGTTCATGCTGCGCGCTTTCGTGCGATACTACGGATTGGGCAGAGCTATCCTCTGAGCGATCAAAGCCACACCTGAGCTGTTCACTTGCCCAGAAACGTTTGTGTGGCAAGAACAAGGACAAAGCGTGAACAGCGGATGTAAGTACATGGCCTGCTGGCTTTTAACACATCACGATATCAAAACACAGCTTTCCGATTACATGTGGGAAACACTTGCGGATATGGGCAAACTTACAACAGGAGCAGATACGGATACGGGCAAAGTTACAATTTCGAATCACAAGCCTGCAATTGGAGCTTTCTGATTTCCAGCGCGATGCAAGAATCTACTGTTGACACCGCACCGACCACACCATGTCTGAGAATGCGTAAAGCGAGATAGATGTGAGTAAGTGCAGGCAACTCATGTAATGGACATGCACGCAGCAACGACTCCTGATGGTCAAATAGTGGTGGCTGAAGCTGGCACCATACAGACATCGAATGTGGACCAAACGCTAGAATGATCACAAGACGCAATGATCGGTTTTGCTGTCATCTCTAGCGACAACAACTACGTTTGTGTCGTTGACAAGCTTTTGCTGAGAGAATCACAGCGAAAAACTGTACAAGGTGCTATGCACAAGAATGTGCGCACAAAACACTACGTGAACTCATCTTTTTACTGCAGGCAACTCATGTAATGATCTTTGGTGGAATACATGCTAACTCGCTGGCCCAATGTACAGTGACAATACCGAGCTAGTCGGCGATGCCTTATTCCTTTGATTAAGTCACTAGCGCGAAGCGCCACACCAATTCGCGCCACATTTGTATCCAGACACTAACAAAGAGCCTCCTGCCTACACTACTAACACCTGCTTACCCTCGGGACTTACAGTAAATTCGCTCGCCACGTCTACTACACCTGAGAATTGTTATTCTGTATTGTTCTGTTCGCTAGCGTGACACAATCCACGGCGACCAAAAGACTCGATGCAAGTGTTGCTGATAGAACGCAACGTGCTGCTTGTGCATGAAGAACAGTCTATGTATTGGCGTTGCTATTACAGTGAAGGAAGACTCTACGTTCGCAGTGTAAAGAAGATACACTCGGACCAGCGCTGGCGATTTGAAGTGAATCGACGCATCCGTTTTCACAGCCGCGACGCCCCGTCGGTGGCTTGCACCTCAGAGTAACCGACGGCTGCGCTCGACCCGCTGAGATGCTGCTTCACACAAATCGCCGCTCTCGTTTACACCCTCTTCTTCTCCGCCTCGACCGACTCAGGCTTCCTCGAGGTCAGACAGTAGTTGACTATAAAGAAATTCATGAAGAGCCAGAAGAGCGACTGCACGTAGATGAGGTACATGACGGAGATCTTGTACGGCATGCCCGGGCACGAGCGCGACACCATGAGGTAGCCTTGCGCGTTCATGAGCAGGAACTGGATCATTTGGACTGTCGTCAAGTATGGCTTCCACCAGATCTTGCGCGTGTGCGAGCTCACGAAGTAGTACATGTACATGATCGCGTGTACGCCACCGTTCAGCACGATGGTCATGTAAAGGTCGCCGTCATACGACGTGCGAAAGTTGGCCCAGTAGCACTGAAAAAGAGAGGGGGAAGGCAAGCAAACATCAGGTCAGTTGTACCGAACGCGATGGACTCAACAGGACACACAGCAGAAGAGCAGAGATAGACATTGACGTACAAAGAACACGGTGACGTGGTGGTAGACGTGCAGCACGGACAGTTGCTTCCACTTCTTGCCCATAATAATAAAGAAAGTGTCACAGAAGTCCAGCACCTTGGACAGGTAGAAGATGTACATCAAGTTCCCCATGACCGGGTGCTCGTGGTCAAAGGCATTGCACGGAGTAGCTGAGTAGTTCTGCAAGAGCGAGTGAGGAGCAGAGACAACAGTGTCAGCAAGAGAAGCACGAGCAATCGCAAGCGCCGGACTCCTTGACGGCTACGTACGTGGCGACGGGCCTGGAGGATCGCCTCCACAGTCATGTACGAGCACAGCACGACTTGAATGGGGTTGTAGACAAATTGCAGGGGCGCTGTGTTGAGCGCACGTACACCCGACTTCATCACGAGCTGCAAAAGCAAAGCCACGAAAGAGTCGACCAGACAGACACATAGACACATAGACAGACAGACAGACAGACAGACAGAGACAGATAAACAGACAGAGCATTAGCACGCACACGAGAGCTTCAAGACACGGCACAGACGATGATGGCGGGAGAGCGTACCGTGCCCACGACAACAAAGGTGAGGTAGCCGACGCAGAGCGCAAAGACTGTGCCAAAGTCGGCCAGGAAGTAGCTCTGCATGGGCGACTGGCGGTACCGCAGCGTGGGGTCGACCCAGTCCATGAGCACGACGTCCATCTTGCGGGCCCATTGCTGGTAGCTGTCGAAGAGGACGCTGGCCATCGTCGAGTCTCGAGCCGGAGGTCTGGCGGGCAGGCGGCTGAGCCAAAGGGGAAGTGATCCGGGGGGAGCCGGGCGGCTGCAAAGGGTCCGGCCAGTCGGGCTGGCGGCCATTCAAAGCGCACGTTATAGGCGGCAGCAGATCCGGTTTGGCATGAGAGGTGCTCCGCTTGCCGCGTCACTTGCGCAGAGTATGACGTGTGCTGGCCGGTAGCTTGGTAGCGATCGGGTTTGTCGATATATCAAGTGTCGAAGGTCCCACACAACATAGACGCGCTGTCGGGATACAGAGGCAGGACAGGTGGCGCCCCGGGTGAGGCACGATTTTCTTGCCCAGGATATGAAGGCACAAAGACGGCCGATCTGCGAGAGAGCTGCGCTGGACCGGCCCCAGTAGTCCCTCGTGCCGTGCAGCGCCAGCCGGTGATCCTCGTTATGTACCGCCGATTAGCACATCCATTTCGTTTCTACCGTCGACGGATTACCTCTGCAAGCGGATGGCAGAAACAAGATGACGCGGGCCCCTGCCGATGAATAGAGCGAGATGCAGGTAAAGGCCTGGCGCACTATCGCTGAGGCGAGGGAGTATAGAGAGCGAGCAGTCGCCAGGTGACGGCCGTAAAATGATGAGATGGGGCCAGACGCCACGCGTTAACTGGGCCCATCTGCACAACTGACAATGCATATCATCAACTACTAAGCTCTTCCTTCGATGCCTACATACATCTCGACTCGATGGGGCATGCGAATGCAGGATGCAGCTGTATAGGCCGCAGGAGTTCTTCAGCTGCACGTAGCAGTAATGCTTGGCAAACTTCAACAACGTAACGTGTGTATTGGCCTCATGTCCGTTTAAGCGGAGCCCAGCTCAGCCATAGAGACGCGGTGCTGTTACGTGGACCTTCCATCAGGTGCTGACGAGATCCGACTGGCCGAGACGTGCCTCTGTGCTGGCACCAAACTGTCTCTAGTGAAGTTGTGCTTGCCGGGCGCACGCCACGTGTTCATTCGCAGTGTGTCATGATCTTGGCATAAAACACCATTAGCATAGCTGGCGGCACAAGCGAAAGCCACGAACGCAATTCGTCACAAACGTCGGCATTGTATTTATTGCAAATTCGCGCACGAAGTTGCGGCTTTACAGTTACCGCCGGAGAGAGTGCGACGAAGCCACACACAGACACACATGGAGACCGCGCTAAGGTCCAATGCTGTCCTTTTGTCTATTGCGTCTTCCTCTTGTTCGAGGACTTACGCGGCTTGGCGCAGTACGACCTGACAAAGAAGTTCATGAAGAGCCAGAACAGGGACTGGATGTAGACGAGGTAGATGACCGGCACCTTGTGGGGGAAGTTGTCGCACGAGCGCGACACCATCAGGTAACCCTGGACGTTCATCGTTACGAACTGGATCAGCTGCATGGCCGTGAGATACTTTTTCCACCAGATGTCACGCGTGTGCGCGCTGACAAAGTAGTACATGTACATGATGGTGTGAATGAAGCCGTTCAGAATGATTGTGGCATAGATGTCGCCGTCGTAGGCCACGCGGAAGTTCATAAAGTAGATCTGGTGACTTCATTACACACCCACATGGTATTAGACATATTCACTTGATTGTCCAATGGACCGCAAAACAGTACGTACTGCGAAAATAGTCAGGTGGTGGTAAACGTGCAGAAACGAAAGCTGCTTCCACTTCTTGCCCAGAATGATGAAGAACGTGTCGAAGAAGTCGAGGATCTTGGACAAGAAGAACATGTACATTACGTTGCCCATGACTGGCTTCTCGGCGTTGAAAGCATTGCATGGCAACACAGAGTAGTTCTGTGAATCTCAGCACACAAGACACAAGACAAGACAAAGCAACGTCACTTCACAGCATATCTTGCAAATGTATGATCACGCCAGTCAAGGCAGTCGAGCAGGCACTTAAACGTACGTTGCGGTAAGCAAGGATGCCAGCTTCCATGCACATGTACGAGCACAGGACAACCTGCAGCGGGTTGTAGATAAACTGCAGCGGGCTCGTCTTGATGGCAGGGATGCCTGCCTTCATCAAGATCTGAAGGGGATACAAGTTATCATAGGTGCATTAGGACCAAAGACTCTCAGAACGAGCTCGTTGCGTGGTGACTGGACTAACGTACCGTGCCAATGACGACGAAGGCGACATACGCAACGCAGATGGCAAAGGCAGTGGCGAAGTCAGCACCAGGCAGATCCTGCATGGGCGAGAGCTTGTACTGCCCCGACGGGTCTGCCCAGTCGAGGAACAGCGTCTCCTGAGTGTCGGCCCATTGCTTGTAACTCGCCCAAAGTTCGGCAGCCATCGCGGACAGCTGCAATCGAAAGTGACGTGTGCCGAGCGGATCTTTGGGCTGAAAGGATACGCACCACCAATTCCGCTCCGGGTGAGCCGTAGTGATTGGCCAATGGGCAACAAGCGATCCCGCTGATTGGTCAGCCATCTGCCCTATCACTCGGTGTTGATCTTCCTTCAACGTCACGAGGCTGCCGTCTCCACTGATGTTGAGCTCCTGAGAATGACTTCGCACGTGCATGAGCCACGTTAGCTGCCACTCCCTTTCGTTGTCGTCAATTGCGAACGTGTGCTTTTGCCAACATCAGCAGAGGTGGAAGTAGATGGAGACGTGGCAGTGCGCGCAAGTCAAAGTGGCACTTTGGTTCGTAGCAAGACGACTGATCTCTACGTACAATCGATGCAAGCATCGTCCGCACCATACGATGATCGATGGGCGGTGGTGTAGCGGTTGCTGCAAATTTGTGGACCTCGGCCTAAGGGCGACGTTAGACCTGTTGTGCCACGAGCAACCCATCTTGACGTGTGTGGACAAAGCTGAAGTGCCTCGTGCTCCAGGCAATTCAAGTGAAATCTACCACGCGCCATTTCGAAGTCTGCAAAGAGGACGCTCGCAGACACCGAAAGCACGATACGCTACTGGAACTGCGCATTTGAATTGGTTTCCAGCACTTACGATCGCTCAATGCGATCGCCGGACTACTTTTGGGGCATTGACACCACCAGAAGGACGCCAACCGCTTCGTTTCTGGGATCCAGACGCGCAGTTGGAGACACTCACAAGTCTGGCTGTCCTCCATTCCCGCCCCTAAGCAGTTATCAGCTGTTCCATCTCGAGTAACATCGGCTCGTGTCCCAGCAAACTGACCGCTGATGAGTTAGACAGTGAGATCGGTTGGAGTGATCCGTACCTGCACAAAAAGTCTGGAGCTTCGCGTCCCCTTCTTCCCTTGTGGGTCTGCAGCTGTGTCGTGATGATGAGCGGATTCTCTAAGTGTGTCAGAGGATACCGTGCGATGCAACAAAACACGCATATCTTGGCGCGCTACATGCACTCGTCGTGTGTGCATCACTCACGGGTTTACTCGTCGACTTGTGTACTGTTCGTAACACTTGCTCGGTGGGCGTAACTCGCTGATCCGACACAATCTCTGTTTGTATGTTCGTGAACTACCTGCACCACTGATTGGGTCACGTTTGTCCGAACCGACCACGTATTCACGCTTTCTTGGCACCAACGCGACATGAAGGACACGGTCAAGAATAGAGAGTGTAGTTATTGTCCAAAGAACGACATGGCTGGGTCTTACTAGACACACAAGTTGTTGGTCGTCGTGTGTCAATCTACCCATCAACTCCGACACGTCTGTACGAAAGCCGGCCACATGCATGGTGAGGAAAGGTGTATGCACTCGGTACACGTCGCACAAAGGCGCGATCCAGTGGTGGTATCGGTCCAGTATGCGGACAAGACGCTCTCGTTGGCTCAGGAACACGGCCCGCCCAGCTGATAAGCGTTGCCTTGACCTTGACCGTTCAACAGGCTCAGAACTGCTACCAAAGACACCAGCTCCCAAAACAGCCACATTACCACCACGTTGTGAGGCGTTGTCGACGATGATGCAACGAGGCGAGACAAAAGTGCGACAAAGTAACTTGTAATTTTTCATCTAATTCTTTAGAAAGTTCTTTTTTAATAAAATTTCTTTCCAAGTGTACATAGTCAACAGAACTATTCCAAACCCTGTTAGTTAAAATACTACCTAAATACCCATTGTGTCAGAGACTTCGGGCGGCCTGGCGAAATCAGCTTATCGGAGCAACCAAACTGCTTACAGCAACATTCATTTGAGACCGGATGCCAACATAGGTTCGGGTAATCGAGTCGCGGACGAGCGCGCATCATTTTTGCCAAAGTATGCGCTTCGATTGCTATGCCGACCGAGAGATGCGATGATCAGAAAGGCGATCACTGACCTGGCGGCGAGAAGATTGTGTGGCAAAAAAGGCCTCTTCGATGATGGCGATGAATATGTTCAGGACCACGTACATGAACAACGACGTGAAAGAGTACAGGTACACTTTTCCTGATACGATAAACTGGTGGAGCTCCATCCCGTCAAACGTATCCATGATCGCATCTCCATTCATCAGCGAAAACAACGTGACCATCGACCCGCTCAGTGTGCCGAACTCCTCGATCTTGTTTCCAAAGTAGATTGTTCCGAAAAGGGCGTACCCGACGAATATCGGAGATACACCCAGCAAAAACTGCAGCACACGAGGTGTTCCCCACTTCAGTGTCAACACAATTGAAAAAATGTGCCGATTGTGCTCAAGATACCCGACAAGACAACTCCAAAGCAGCAGCAGCGCTGTTGCATGGAGCAATCGATGCCAAAACCCAATCGGCATGTGAGCTTCCAAGGAAAGTAAACTCCACACGGAACTTGCAAGTAGCAGGGCTAGAGAAGTAAGAACTAGCAGCTGTCTGTGCCACGCAACGTGAGACCAATTAGCACCAGCACAGCAGCCAACGTGTCAGGGATGGCCTCACGTACAAGCTGTTGAGGAGTTTGACTCGTAGCATACACGAAACTTCCGTCGACGCTTTCGTTTGTTCGCAGCGTGTTCCGGTGCAAAAATGCAAGCTGTCCTCGCTAGTACCACCAGTAGCTGCACCACGCAGCCCGTTTTCCTTCTTTCTTTGATCACCTCTAGCATCTCGACGGAAATCACATCGATCTTGAGTCATTCTACATCCACATCATATCACAACAACCAGTTTGTGCGTAAGCAAGGTCAATCAGACGACACGACATGCCCGTAATGAACACATACACACGAAATGAATGCCGCAGGGCCTTGAGACTGAGCGTCATGTACAGTAGCGAAATCACCGCAACTATTGCATGCATCCAAACAAAGCTCTGCATAGCTGTGGCCCAGAACGAACGCGGGTGCACACTGGCGCAGCGCGAGACTTCGCAATCTTTTAGCTGAACGTGAATTTGAGCGCCTTTGACAACTTGAAAGCCCACATTCACGTGCCACTCGAAGCACTCTTCGTAAAAGTTTCCGAACTGACGATCGCGAAGTGAGAAGGAGAATCTGATACTGCGCAGTGATCCGAACAAATGCTTTTTCTGCCATAAAGTCAGTTTCGGATCGAAGGGTCCTACACTCTCGTCGTTCTGCGAGACAAGATAGTCCCGAGTCTCGAGCTCACCGTGAGGAAGCACACGGCTGATTGTTACCATGAGTGGCTGGATACTTCCTGAGTCCGTGTGCAGGTACTCGTAGTTAGCAACAGAGACATTACCGATGGAGAAATAGGCATCGCGCAGATAGTGCACTGCCGTCATCGTGCGATTGATCGTATAGAAATCTCGCTCGAATCGAGGTCTACGCGGCAAATATGACGTACAGAGCCAGTAAGTACCATGAAAAAGAAGGTGCAAAGCTTCGTGCAACGTTACATACACGACGCCAATATCTGCGGCAGGAGGAAGGAAGAAGAACGCCCTAGTCGTTCATATCCACCGAATTGTCAGACAGGTATCCAGAGGTATCTTTACCTTGTCAAAAAGATCAGCTAGACGCACCAGTTTCGATAAGAAGCGCGCATGTAAGCAGCATTCTGGGCATCGAATAGCTGCATTTGGGTAAAGGTTAGCAGCAAAAGAGCTACGTGCAGCATCAGCTTGTATGGAAAGCGGCCGTGAGTTGTCCACTTCTCCCAGGGCGACAGCACCGTTCGCCTTACGTCCTCCGATGACGGGTTTCTATTTCGTTGCCTGTGTCGCGTTGCCGCATCGTCACAGCTGTCAATGGGCAGCAGCAGTCCGCGTCGCAGTCCCTCGTCGGCCTCTGCGTCCATGACTCAAAGCTGGAAAAGCGACTTCAAGAAGACTTTTGAGATTCCTGAAGTCTCCCTCTCAACTTGCATGAAAGATCGAGTTTGGTAGTTGATTGAGACGAAGGAGCCATTGATCATTTGCTGGTTAGAAGAAAAACTACTGAGTCTGTTCAGCAGCTACGGCAGTCGGTGTGATGTCGACACCAGCGATGGCGCGGAACAACGCGCGTGCAGTGGATCTGCCAGTGAGAAGTGGAGAGGGTGAGAGTTTTGTGGGTGGGAATGTATCGATGCGCGAAGCGGACACGGCCGGTGAGCTAAAGATCGGTGGGCGGACAGCTGCAGACAGTGGTGAGGAGCAGAAGAAGTTGGAGACGCAGACTCCAGCACCAATGAGTCGCAGTGCCACATCCTCTTCTGCTTCTGCTGTGCATGTGGAAACGATTGCGGATGGCGCAGAGGAAGCGGCGGACACTGCAAGAGGCCCTGTGAAACAGCCGGCAATGGATTTAGACATCGCGACTGGGAGTGAAGAATATGACGTACCTGCAACAGTTCGGGAAAAGACGACCACGAAGCCAATGATCACGAAACCTGCAGCGGTGGGACTTGCAGCGAAGGAACCTGCAGCGGTGGAACCTGTAGCGACGAAACTGCCACAATTGTCTACAGAACCTGCTCCGATCGTGGCGCTGACGACCAAACCATCTCTACGTGCAGAAGACTCGACGACAATTTCAGACGCTGTAGCAAACGACACTGCAAAACGACTGCAAACGACTGGTTACCTAAGTCAAGGCAGCAATCCCTTGGTACTGGTGGCGCTAGCAGGTATATGCTGCATCTTTCTTTTTGTCTGGGGACGGAAGAGGCGTTTGAGAACCTTCTCTAGCTCTGGTTCGCCTGGACAAAGAGGAGCTAAAGGAACGAAGTTACAGTACACGCAAGTACCAGATGAACAGCCGTTTGACCGCTGTCACGATGATGACGACGAGTACTGCGACGACTTTGAGGAGGGCTCTTTCGCGAATGATCGGGGCAGTTGGGATGATTGGGAAAGCAACGCCACACAAGCACAGCTGAATCCGTTCGCATCAGCAGGGAGCCCTCCACGCCGCTCGATAGCAGTGCCTGAAAGCAACCTCAGCCCATTCGGGCTCAGCCAAGCACTGTCTCCTTCGCCCCAGCAGCACGTGCAGAAACCCCGGGAGAGTACTGTTGCGGGTAAAAGTGACACGCTATGTGAAAGTGATGAATCCAATAGCTCAAGTGACTCGTTTGAGGTCGTAACGGATGAGGAGCGCACAGCACCAGCAAGCACCCGCAATTCTATCACTGAAGCCGAGAAGAAAGGTGAGAGTGCCGATGACCTTTTCAGTGTACGTACGAGTATTTTTCAAAGTAGTGTGTCGCCCTACGGGTGACAACTGACGCATTCTCATTATCTACCCGCAGCAATTTAATATGGTACCGACATTCCAAAAGAGCGCAGCAGTTCCACCAGCGCCTGCAGATACCAGCGTTGCTCCTGTTTCTCAATCCGTATCGGCGGCCACCCTCTCTTCAGTGTCGTCGTTGCCGACTGCTGCCGAGGCGTCTGCATTGTTCGCGGCTGAAATGGATGATGAAGTTACTGCCGTGGACGCGTCTGACGAGTGGGATGGAGATGATGAGTGGATAAAGGGTATTTGATCGCTCGGTGATAGTGATTCACAAATTGAAACAGAAGACGTATGTAATTTCAATCTTTCGGCTAATGCGCACGTTTGGCAGCTTGACAACGAAATAGTCGCTGCTACTTGCTATTTAAGCTTCCCGCAGCGCAGTTAGGCACTTTAGGAGCGCAGCCAGTCGGAGTGTCATTGCTCATTTCGTACGATGCACCAGATACAGGAGAGTCCGTGCCACCTCGATGCTGCTGTAGTAAGACGACATCGCTGTTCTTCGCTTTGGCACACTCGACGCCCAGTCCTCGTAGTTGCATTGCATCGTCATTATATAGACCACCGAAAACTGCGGACTCCTCGCGGCGAGCATAGCCCGGAACCAGTTCAGGTGGTCCCTCCCACAGCTTTCTCAAAATGCCACGGCGCCATGCCACAACTGCTAAAAAACCGAGTGTACAAGGCACTACGTATACCAGTGCTGGTTGGTCACTGCCTGTAGTTGCAACGCCGACGTTTGCCAGCAATAGACCTATCGTGTAACCCCACATGAGGATGCAGAATAGTCCGCGGCGGGACGTATAGAGTTTCTTAGTACTACCAAGCTCTGCCCCTGACACATCCAGATGCCAATCCATTCCTGTTGTTGTTCCTGACATGCCGTCCGAGACATTGCGTTGGTCGAACGTCTTGCCGTAATAAGGTACAAGACGGCCAAAGAGTTGACCCCGAGTAGCGTAGTCATAACGCGCACCGAACACTAGCAGCAAACCAGGAAGCACAATGTCACCTAGACCCAGAAGCGAAGAGCCTGCCCTCCAATCCAGCATCTTGGGAACTCGAAGTAAGATCGGCATCGATTCAGAGCGGCAGTCATGTTTTGTGTCCGTGGGATAGCGTAAGCAGTAGCCGCTGCGTGTACCACCGACGACAGCTCCTTGTGCTCCTCCAGTAGCCACCTTTATCATGACGTTTTCGTCGAAAATGTATGGTGATAGGATTACCGTGAAGACGTCGTAAACAAACACAAGTGCGAGCAGTAGCGTGGCCACCTTCAAGTTGGGTACTCGTGCGATACGTAAGAAGACGAGGCAAAAGCATACACCAAAAACGTCCTGGAGAACCCACGAATACGACTGAAAGCGCGCGAGAAACCAGAAGAGCGCGGTTCCGACCGACAATGCCAGTGCAAGCATATTATCAATGCTCCACACAGCGGGCACCAGCACATCTTCCCATTGCCAATCAACATCACGCCATGGCAACATGTGCAAACGCCTTACAGGGAGGCGTCGCATAAGGGGCTCCCATATAGCCTCAAACGTGACAAACACGGCCCCAGTGCCAAAGAGCACTACTACCACGATAACGGCATCCATGATAAACAGCAATAAGAGGAGTCCCGATCCAAGCACCAAAAATACCAGCGCATGTCTGGAGCCCAAATCGAGTTGCCCTTGCCGAGGAACCTGCTCGTCGTGCTCTTCAAATGCCACTCGAGCTTGGGCAATGGCATCTGAAGACGTGACGTCGGCCGCGATAAGCGCTGCCTCAAGCTGCGCTTTTGTGCGTTCATAGGCTGCACCTCTGTACGACCCAATCAGTACTGTCGCGCAAGCAACGATCCAAATGATAACCTGAGAAGGATCGATGAGCGGTGGGTCCCGCTCGTATACCGATACCAGCAACCGGCTGCTCTTGTCCTTGCCACTGATTGTAAGTATCTTCTTTAACGAGTTGCCGTCGGCGATCGAAAGTCGCACCACAACAATGTCGCTCACTTCGCTCTTTTCAGATATTACGTCTGAGGTGCCGAAGCCCATGGTATCTGGAATATCCCAGACACAACAAACCTGGTTATTAGCGCCACCGGTAGGTACGCACATATGCGACGAGCACTTGTTGCTGTCTGCACATGAGCGGACACGTGCGTCGTCTCGCCATGAAGCAGACGTAAAGTCATCAATTTCGGCATTCGACTTCACGTTGCCCGAACCACGCGAGCAGCTGTATTCCAATCGCCTCTCTTCCTCAGTGATGCCGGCAACGTTTAAGCGGTCGTAGAGCTCTTCGAGAGTATCCGTGACAATGAGCACGGCAGCCCCTAGCTCTTGCGCGTACAACGCCTTCTCTGCAAACGAGCAACCACCTCGGTCTACCAACAGCACAAAGGGCTCACTGAGTTGCTCTAGTAGCGTCGCACCTATGGGATCCCATAGACCAGAAGAAGCGGAGGTGTTGCGGCTCCTACTAGCAGAGAGTAGCTTCTTCTTCGACGTGCAGCCGTATGCATCGCCTACTGCCGTTGCACTGTACACGAGTGGGTAAAAAGCGCGCCTCTCCCCGTTCCTTAGCTTTTGGACTTCCAGCGACGCTCCCCACTTCTCCTCCGTGGCGCTTGATGCATAAAACACAGTATCCAAGTTCTTCACGTTTACAATAGCCGACAGGATCGGGTTCGCCGGGTTCTTCGCCGAGACGAGAGCTGCAGCCGCACCTGCAAATGCCAGCACCAGCCTGCGCACGAACAGCACCATGAACGATTGTCTCTTGGCCGGACTTTTACGAATAAGTCTTTGGGTACTTTTTAAACTGCAGCGGCTGGACGACCGTTCGGGAGACAGTGAGTTCAGAGACCTCGAGGCTGGCGTAGGGAGGGAGTGTCACCCCTAGTATTCTCCTACAGCTCATGTACTTTTCGCGCTTGGGGCAGATGACACTTGTTTGAAGCTGTTCGAGAGCGTAACGGATGCTCTGAGAAAGGGATGCCACGAAAAGCTCTTATCGTTTCAGTTTTTACTGATCCTTTTGAATGGTAAACAAATATAGCTCCTCTAACTAGTCGCAGTCAGACAGTCGGTCGTCACCAACCATACTGCCTGTCGCATCTGGAGATACAGCTATGATTCGTAACAAACACTTGAGTGATCTTCGTGTTTAAAACTTGTCTTCTCCACTTTTTTCTGTTTAAAACCCACCTTGCCCGTGACTGCCATTCGTCGCCATAGAGCGCGCCGAAAGTGACCCGACCTCGCACTCGCATCGCTGTCCTCTACCGCCACACGATGGACCCGCTCGCAGTAAACGCATTCCGTATGCGAAGCGACTCACTGTCGATGCCAATGTCAATGGCCATGATGGGTACGAGTGGCAGCAACTCGCAAGCAATGGCAATGAGTATTAATGCCATGAACGTCTATAACGTCCCGCAGCGACAACAGCAACAGCAACATCAACACCAGCAAATGATGGTGAGCATGGGCTCATCACACCAAATGAACACGGCCTCTATGGAGATGAACATGGGTCCCACCGCCACAAAAGCAGCCGCACCACCGCTCGTGGATTCACAGCCGGCAGCGGCGCACGGCCTCTGCGCTGACTGGCGCATCCAGTTCACGCGTGAGCACCGAGCGAATCTGATTGCCAAGATGTACGGTCCACTACGCAACTTCTTGATGCGATCGGTTCTGAGCTGACTTGATGTTGTGTTGCATTGTGAAGCTACAACGAGATGGTACGCGTCTCCGCTGACCCCGTGCCCGGCATTAAACTCTGGATGAATATGTCGTGGTGCGAGCTGGCGCTGTATAAAGAGGCACGTACACAGGAAGAATACATTGACAAGATTTTCACGCGCCTCAAGTCGCTGCGTGCACAGCAGACGGACATGAACGCGGTCATGGCAGCGCAAACACTACTGAACCAGGGAATGCTCTCGAGACTGGACTTCTCCTATTGCAACACGCTTAACCTGAGCCAGCGCGCAAACACCTTTGATGCACAAGGCGGCCAGGCCGGAGGCTTTCCAGGTCATACGCTACTTGGTGGGCAGGCTGTTCAGTCTAGTGCCCAGCAGTCTCAGCTGGAAATGGCGGTAACGGTGGGTGCTGGAGGCATGTCCACGACCTCGGTAGCACCCAATGGGACGAACATCACGCCACGGGTGGAAAAGCCAGAGGGTTCGATTCCCGGCGATACCCCGGCGGAGTACTGGCGGCAGCACGCAGCGCTCAAGCTGAAGTACCATGACGATGTGAAAAAGGTGCACAGTGCTTTCCAAAAGTACGCGGATCACATGAGGAGTCACGATGAGACGGAACAGAAGAAAAAGCTGCGGTATCTTCTCAGCTACGTGCAGCTGTGTGCAGATATCCTCAATGAGGACAGGACGACGCATGCTCCGCGCAAGATCGAGGAGCTGGACAAGGTGTACAAGTACATTGTGAAGATCGTGAACCCGTATTTGAAAAAGCTGCGTGCGGAGACCGATAGACGCAGCATCGACCCCAACGCCGTTGGCGGCAATCCTGCTGGTATGAACCCCGCGACGGTGACAAACCCGACGCCCGGTGCCCGTGCAAGTTTGGACGCTGATTCAGCATCGGGTGAAACGTGGGGTGTACCAAATAGCGCGATGCACGTTGTCCACCGCCAGCAAAGTCAGGTTCAGCCACGTCAGAACTTGGCCTTGCAACAGAAGCAACAGCAATATCTCATGCAGCAGCGTGCGCAGCAGTGCAGCAGCGTGCGCAGCAGATGCAGCAGCAATATCTCATGCAGCAACAACAGCGAATGCAACCGCAAGTGCGGCAGCAGCAGACGATACAACAGCAGCACATGGTGCAGCAGCAAAACGGTGTGGCTCAGCCGAATCGTTTCCAACAGTCCGTCAAGCCCAACCAGTCCCAACTGCCCGCTCAGCAACAGGCCAATTTACCAAATTTGCCAAATGAACGGCAAAACGGTCGGCCTCTGCATGCCCAACAGACCTCACGTCGGCTAGAGCAGCAGCCACAGCGTGCTCAGCAAGCTCCAAATACCAGCCGGCAGCAGCTCGGACAGCCCCAACGACACGCTTCGCAGCAGTCACATCAACCTCGTCAACCGCATCAGCAGCAGCACCAACGCTTGCCGCAGCGGTCTCATTCGCAGGAGCCCAAGACCCAGCCATCAGTGCCACAGCACCAGCAGCAGCAACACCAGACCTTGTCGTCCGTGTCTCGCGCCGAGACTTCCTCTTTGAGCTTTGACGATACCCTTTACAGAAGAGCGAATAGCAGAGGTACATCGCCACTGCCGTCCAGCATGGGATCCTCGAGGCCCTCGTCGAATCTCGTGCACTTCTCCAGTGATCTATCGCCAACCAGTTTCTCGAGCATGGAGTTGCTCGATATGGACGGCTTTATGGCCCGCCACGAGACCAGCTCTACCGCTGGAGAACCCAAGCAGAAGAGCAGTCAATGTAGTGTCAGAAACAGCGCAAATGCCGGTAACAATGGGGACTCGGACCTCATGTTCATGGAAGCGCTGTGACTTAGTGACCCGAACGCGCACGTGAGATGTGCAATGTAAGCGTCGAGTGCAGTAGCTGTTCAGTCCGACCGCATTTTTCACGTCGACAGTCGCCCAACCGCAGTGTGCGACCCGATCGAGTGCCCTGCAAGAAGAAGAAGAAGAAGCGCTACTGGTCGCCACACAGTGTCCGCTCGAGTCGGTGCAAAGCTGACGTTACACGGGCGCTGCCTCCCAACTGTCCCATACGGCAGCAAAGGGGCGTACGTCAGTGGCGCTGTGCCTAAAAGGGCCGAAAGTCAGCTCACTCGTTGCGTCTGAGAAACGGCCGTCCGACATTGGCCGAGGAACAACCCCTCGGCCTGTCTTTGCGTGCGAGAGACGGAGGCACGACCCCCACCGCGTCGGCCGCTGCTCCCCCTGTCGCTGCCGGCACCCGACCGGTCTCCCGCTCGACGACGTGGCGTGCGTGGAGAAACCGACGCCGGTCGAGACGTCGGAGAGGCCCATGGCGACCCGCACCACCGCGCGACTGCTGAAGTCCACCAGCAGCACGCACAGCATGTCCAGCGCGCTCTCGCTCCAGCCCGCGCCCCTCACCAGCGCCACGCTCTCCCGCGCCGTCGAAGAGGATCTCGAGTCGCAGGCGCGCGCGTCGCTCAGCCTCTTTGGCTTTGGGCTGCGGGATTCGGTCAACTGGAGCCCCGTGAGCGCGAGCGCCAGCGCGGCCGCTACGGCTGCGTCGTCCACAGAGACCCCCGGAAGTGGAGGCGCGATCAAAGTCCGCGTCATGGAGCGCGTGTGCCCCATTGGCACGAATACGGTCCTGTGGGGTATCATGAACTCTCTCGCCAACGGAGGCGAAGGCGGCGACGATGTGGCGACGAACGCCGTCGATTTGGCGGCGTCGAGTGTCAATGGGGGCGCGAGCGTCAATGGGACCGGATCATTGGAAAGCGACGCGTCGGACTGGGACGCCTCGTCGAGCGCTGCGGGACTGAGCAATGGGTTTGCGTCCAAGGTGCTGCAGCAGTACCTCGTGAAATGCGTCGCGCTGTTGCCGTCATCGATCGAAGAGGCAGTTGATTTGCTCGTGCGTTCGGATCGAGATGACATGGAGCTGCCGATGAAGCACCTCGTAGGCGTTCGCACGAGCTCGTCGGCTTTTGTCTACCGCCGACAGAAGAAACAGCTTCGACGCAGCAACAATACGAGCAACAACAACAACAACAACAACAGCACGAGCAGCATCAACGGTATATCGCAGCGAATGACGTCCCGGGCGTCGATGCAAGATTGCGACAGCGATTCGTCATACTCGGACACTGAAGCAGAACTGGACGACGATTTGCAGCCATTTACCGGTCCTGCTAGTCGAGAGACGGCCTCTGGACGTGCCCGAGGCACTCGCGATGGTGACTCACTAGGGAATGATCGACCAGCAGCAACAGCAAACTCCGGCCCGTACTTGTCTCCTACGTACATGGACGATTACCGTGCGGAAATGGCAGCTTCGGGGTACCAAGGGAACCTTAGTATTAAGTGGGTCGTTGGCGAAAAATCCAGTCGAATGTTCGCGTCGCGGACTACCTACTGCCTGTTGGATTATGAGTGCATTCTGGTGAATGACTGGGACGAAAATGCCGACCCATCGCCAATGTACGTGCGTACGCTGCAGTCAAGCTATAGCCCCCACTGTCAACCGTGGTTGGACGAGGTAGGCTCCAAGCCTACGGACCTTCAGCCAACCGGCTTCATGGTACGCCAGGCACGCCACCGTGATGGATATGTAGAAGTTCAGTTTGTGGCTTCGATCTTGGAGAAAGCACAGCTGCCTATGTTGTCTCGACGAGCGAAGCTGCGAGCGTTGTGTGCTAAAATCGCGCGCCTGGAGGAAGTGCTGACCAAGCGACGTTTGTCGCAGTCATTGCTTGTGAATGCGCCACACTGGGTGCACAATCGCGACCGGTTGGGATGCCGAATCTGCGACGCCAAGTTTGGGCTATCGCGTCGTCGTCATCACTGTCGTCTGTGTGGTGAAATATGCTGCTTTGAATGCTGTCCCAAGATGGATGTTGCGCTTCCGGAGGTGGGATCGACGAGTGTGCGTGTATGTATCGGATGTGTACAGAAGCGTCGTAAAAGCTGCGAATTGGCTGCGTCGACATCCAATGCATCGACGACGGCGTCGACATCGTCACCGACAAAAAGTGCTTGCGTGGAGACTTTACCACCTCCAGCGTTAGGATCGGCCGTGTCGTCACCCCCGGACCATTGCTTATCGTTTTCATCAAGTCTCAGCGCTACTCCAAGTAGCTGCACTACGGCTAGCGGCTTAGGTGAGCGGAAACCTTCCTTGGCATCGTCTGTTTTCCAAAAACTAAAGAGCAGTTCGTTAAGCTAAACTTAGCTGGACAGCAAGATAAGAAGTGCTACACCGAGTACGTACAAACGCACTTGAATAGAGGATTTTACCTGGTTGCTTGCATCGGCTTTTTCGAAACAACATCAATCCTTCACCATGCGTAGATCGTTAGTGTGATTCGTGCACGTGAATGCCTCTGTTAAACCGTACAACTGCTGAAGTAAATATCAATGTCAAGCAGATCATACATCGCTATGGTGTGTGTCGGCGTTGATAAGCACAATTTTGCTCACCTATCTCAAAAGCTGCGGCACCAGTCTTGACCGCTACATTCCAAAGTTGGCAATCATCGGTCGAACATGTTTCATTTTCCCACCCGCTTGCAGCGTGAGGCTTGTTTACCTCACAGCCAGTTTAGTATGAATCGTCAATTCCGCCTGTAAGCACGAATTTTTACGTATTTACAACTAACGCATTTGACTAATAAAACTCTTCTCGTGAGCACGTGGCAGCACAATCGGTGACTACTTTCCAAATTGAATGCTTTCAAGCTTTATGTAACGGGGCGAGCTAAACGAGGTGAGCTCTTTCCATGATTTTGACGAAATATTCGACGTCAACATGAATATTTCGTAACGGATGATATTCAACACCTTGTACCACTAGCGAGTGGCAGTGCAAGAAAACCACCTCAAAGTAGCTAGAGAAACATGTTGATGGTTACACAGGAATGAGAACGACCCGCTATATATGGTAGGGTACTCATGTAACGGGGCAGCCCGTTACATGGAAGTGTCACTTTAAAAGAAAGTGACAACAAAGAATATTAAGTGAATATTCTTTGAACAATATCACCGATAATGGTGATATTGGTGAAGCGACCAAAGGGTCTGCTCATTGGTTGATATCTTGATAATATCAACCCACCAATCGCCGCAGGACGCGCGCAACGAGTGGTGACGAGACGTCACCATACACTCAGTTATATTAACATAATTAAGTCAGGTTAAACAAAGAGACAGTAGCAAAAAGACTTAATTATATTAATATAACAGTTCTGCTTCTGCCTTATCCTACGCTTCCTCGTTCGCCTCGTGTACGTCTGTCGGGGCACCCTAAACCCTTGCGTTAAGTTCACGCAAGGGTGTTCCCCGTTACAATTCAGGTATGAGTAGACACTTTCCGGGGTTATAAATCGTGCCACCACCACGAATATCATCGATCCACATGTCTCCTCTCTCCAGTGCCAGCCACGCGGTCACTGAAGTAAGTAGCCTAAAGGTGACTATATGGCATTATATGACAGCAAGATACTCATTGCCTGTAGAAGCCATGATGCTAAGTAACGCAATTATAAGAGGCGAAAGCTTAATGGCGAGGGTTTCTCAATAATCTGGTAGTCAGTGCCGAAAAATATTAGTGATAATATTTAGTGTCCTTGGATATAGAAGGCAACGCGTTTAGTACTCCACTCGACTGCGGCCGATAAAAATGGAATGATATACGTCAAACATAAACTTCTTTCTGTCTTTTTATTTAATACGAATCCGGTACATGATCCTTTAAATACGGTAGCATTTTAAAAGAAAAATAGCAAAATTAAGCTTTGAATATCATGCTAGGCGCGTCTAGCAATGCTTGGTGAGCAAATAAGTAGCAAGCACATATGTTAAGCTGATAAATGTTTTATTCTTTGATACATTCAGGTTATAGTTTGTACAACGTAGAGAAAACTTTTCCCATCGATTACAAAAAAGATTTCATACATATATAATTACTTGACAATACTAATATTGGTTTCCGTTTTGCTATTCTACTGAGGTTGTCCATCATCGTTGACAGCATGTGAATTGCAAGTATTCATGTATGAGAGAGATCATAGCACTCATATATATTGTCATCAGTTCTATACTGTCATCGGCGTAAGCAGAAGTTGTGGGAATAAAAAGCATGATCAACGACTTTTGTATTAAAATGCACACAGACGCTTTCGCCACTCGCCGGGAAGAGGCTCATCATGATCTTATCAGTCGATAAGTGAGTCAAATTCTATCCTGCATATTTATATGATAAAAACGTACTACAACTTAGTGTAATTTTCACACATCTATCACGCCACAACTACCAAACCTGGTAGTCGGGGAATCAATTCGAAACAAAATGTCCGCTACGATGACTCCAGTTCCAACGTGGTTGGCCTTTAAAAACGCATGATGATTCGTCTTGGTCAATCGGCCAGAAACTACCATTTCGCGATTAATTACAAAAATTATTGTTAATGAATGTACGCATTAGAAACAAGAGCCCACATCCATCTCATCTACCTACGGAAAGACTTCCGAATCAACTTGATTGAAATCTTGCAGCTAGCTTACAATCCGGTCACAGACGACCTCCTCCTCATAAAGTTTGACCATTTTTACTCCGTCACTAATGGACGGGTGGCGATGTCGGAAGACACTTCTTGAGCAACATGCCTTTGAAGTGTCTTTCGACATCGCCTCTTCTAACTCCTAAATGTGTCATCTTATAGGGATGCGACATAATTGCACGTATTTTGATTTTCGGTTGCGTAGTCAAGTCCAAAGGGTCTTTATGTAACGGGGTTACACGTCGACTGGTAGTCGACAATAGGTGTGGTGCACAAAATGGATGGGATTCCCTTTTAAAGTGATAGTGGAACACAGTATTAATTGTTGAAGACTGATGTCTGTAAAACATTGTTTACGAGATCGTTTGAGAGGTTTATTTAGGACATTAGCGAGTAGGTTAATTACGTTGTTCTAAGATGTTCTATTAGATTAAAAGAAGAAATAAAATTCAGTTTCCCTTTTGACCAACAAAAGACACGTGCCTTACGAGGCGTCTTGATCGGAAGAGCTAGCAACGCCTGTAAAGGTAGCTGATCTTTAGCACTCTGTGCTGTGATTATCTTGAATCGTTTGGTCCCTCTGGAACAGGGATCGTAAGCTCTCTGAGCTTGTTGACTCTCTGAGTCGGGTTCGTAGAACCAAAGTTGCTCGTAGAGCGTTAAGTCTTCCTCTGACCTTAGGAGCTGTGTAGCTCCGCTACACGTGGTAGCACTTACCGTTCAATCTACGCCTGACTTGTTACGAAAGCTCCTTGGCGAGGATGGAGCAATCCACACCCCTCTATGAGGCTCAAAAGGTCGCGCTTGATAAGATGACCGCGGCCGTAGGCCCAGAATATGTAGAGTTTCTAGTCGCACAAGGTCCCGATGTGCCCAATGCACGAGTCGAGACCTTCATGCAGTATGAAACGGCCTTGTTAGGGCAGGTTTAAACCAAGTAGCGTCGGCTATGCCAACACGCTACGTGGCAATGCCACCAGAAGAGGCTAAGCCTCGTCCCCTTCGGGTGGACGTTAAACACTACTCCAAGAAGGAGGAAGAAACATGAATCTTTGGATCCGTTGTATTGAGATGGCCATGAGCTCTGGCCTTATCTCACTAGAGTACCAGCGGGTCTTGCTGGATATCTCAGTGCTCGATGGAAGAGCTAGAGAGTGGGCTTTGACGTGTGGCACGTCGGTCGACTTGGCGTTTCCCACATGGGATTTGCTCAAGTTAGACCTTTTGCGAGTTTTCTCGCCGCCTAACCAGGCTTCTCGCGTGCGCTCACGCTTCTTGTCTACCTATCAGGTTAAGAATGAGTTAACGGACTGTGTCCGAGAGTTGAGAACTCTTATGGCTGCTATGCAGGTTGACCCTCTCCCTGAAACAGTCTGTGTTACTGTCTTCATGGATGGTTTTCGTAATGGCGTTACCAGGACCGAGGTGTTTTGGGTCCATCCCTCTGCTTTTGAGGAAGCTGTTAGTATCGCTCAAAATGATGAGCACAACTTTAATATGGCCAGACTTGGTTGGAATGGGTACAACCCAAGCTTTGCGAGGGCAACCTCTGCGAGTACCTCGGCTTACCGTACGCCAGAACTGGTGGATCTTAGCCATGCTGAAGATGAAGGTGAAGTATAGCTTCATTTTGCAGAGCAACGACAGGATGGGAGACGCTGTTATATGTGCGGAAGCACCAATTACTTAAGCCCCACTTGTCCTTTGCGTAAGCAACAACCGACTCCTATGGGTATAAATCCCAGCCCCAACCAGAAACCTGGTATGGCACGGGGAAAAGTCGACACCCAGTAGTTGCGGGGCGCCCTACTGGGATAGAACTGAGTTCTGTCACTTCTCTACGAGGTATAGTGACACAGGGCTTAGCCCCACTGGTCTCTGTGCCCGCCATCACAGAGCGTGGATACACGACTGACTTTTTAGTCGCCGAGGCGAAAGTTAAAGGCTTTGAGAAGCATTGGTCGATCCTAATCGACTCCGGAGCATCATGTAACTATGCTCGACGTCGTTCCCTTGAGGGAAGTCAGCGATATGCTGATGCGATCAAAGCGCATGAAGATGATTCCATCACCGTTTGTTTAGCGACTGGTAGTCGTGTCACGGTGCCCAAACTTCCGTTGAACTTAGGTGTGATTTTTTTGGACTTTGACAGCATTGAACGCTGTATTGTCCTCGATTTGTATTCGAGATACGATATCATCCTAGATATGGCTTGGCTTGACCGCCATGAGCCATGGATTAATTGGAGGTCTAAGACCTTAGGCGCCACGCGCAATGTTCCTAGCGAAGCTTTGGAGAGTCATGAACCAACCATCGCTTGACAACAAAAGCAATAAAAGCGCGAGCCGTTGACGGATAATGCCAATGTGCTGGATATTGGTATGTCAGAGTTAATTAACTTTAATGTCAATGACATCAATATTGAGCGGAGATATTTCACCATATGTGAAGAGAGTTATACTTCGTTGAGTGATACTCGTTGTGAGTAATGAGTCACTGCATGCCGCAGGCATGGTTGGCCTAGGGCCATGATATCAAGAATGTAATATCTTTGATGTGAGTGGGGTGGCACGTAAAATTCTACCGAGTGAGGGCGGCCGAGACGGCACCTCACTGAATGTCGGTATTGACATTGTTGGCGAGAAGCCAAAGTGTTCAGGACTAGGCC